TCATTCACTACACGTTCTGGGGCGAGAGGTTCCGCTTCAACTGGCAACGCGAGGAATCACTGGGTTGAAGTCTCTTCTCGACAGATTGGCCCAAGAGTCAGGCAAGTGCCATGATGATTCCAGGGCGAATCTTTGAACAGCGGTTTTAGTCACTATTATTAATCGTATGTGTAATCTCTCTGCCTTGGCCCCAACTCGAAGGTGATACTAGAGGCATTCCTCGATCTAGGCCACCCATATAGACATGCACACTATTTTAAGCTCGCGACGGTTTAGTTGACCTGCCAAAGATGCCAAGCACAGCCAACATGATGGGGGCAAAGAGTATGTATAATCCACCCACGATGAAAGAAATAGCCGCAACAGGGTCCCTCGCACCTCTTTTAACGGCGCCAAGCATCCACTTGGCGTCGCTTTTGGCTTCAACGATAACCCATGTCAGCGGGGACGGCTTCGCCGGCTTCTGTCTGAGCTTAGGCCTCGAGCCCGGAAACACGGCAACGCCTTTCTTCTTCCCCTCCAAGTCCTTCAACGTCAGTGAATGATTCTCATGTTGGCGGGCTCTGACGCTATCCTTTGTCAGCATGCCCCGGATCTTGCTCTTTTCCTCGGCTGTGTTGTGATGCCACCACTCCTCCACCGCGTTGAACATGTATTTTTGGATTGGCGTCTTCTTTCGACCGGGAAAGGCAGGGTGATGCAAAATGCTCAAAACCTGGCGAATGGTTTCTTCTTCGTCTCTAAAAGTGTCGTCCCAGCACTTGACAACTTGCTGTGTCGTCCAATTGGTGGTGACTGTCGACACGAGGCCGGCTGGCTGGTTGAGAACGTTGCTGAAGTGGTCTTTTGAGATGTCCGAGTGACTAGGATCAGACGCATCCCCGTCTTCATATATCTCGGCCGAGGTGGACTTTGCAGCTTCCGCATCGACCCGTTCCTTAGCAGCCTTTAGAGCATTGCGCAACTGCATGATGGAGCTCTCAATCATGAGTGAGAGGTACTTGAAGACGAGCTGATCCGTGTACTTGCCCAGTTGCGTGCTTGACTCTTCGGAAAGCGGTTCGGCATCGTGTTGCTCAGTGCGCTCTTGTATCCATTTCTTGATGCGATCGTGAAGGTAGAAGATTGGCTCAATCGACTGCCAGAGTTGGTCGGCGTCGAGACCACTCTCGGCAGTCTGGCTTTCCTTGTCTGCATTGGCAGATTCCTCAGCCTTTTGGAAAAGCACACCGACAGTCTCCAGCTGTTTTAGAATTGGGTCGCTGATAGTGGCATTGGCCGCCAACTTGCTCAATGCCTGAATGGCAGCTTTGAGCAAGTCGTACAGATGCTGGAATGCGATTTCTCCGATATTCATCTCCTATGGTCGGTCAGCATATATATGCACAGCGCGCGCCGTAGCATGTTGTCTTACATTTTCTAGGTTCTCTAGTGATCCCTTGCATTGTAGCACCGCCATATCATCGGCCTCGCCTAGGAGACTGTGGAAGATGTCGAGCATCCCAAAGGTTCCAGTGACGATGGGTGGTACCATTCGACCTCTCCATCCTGGTGCCTTGACACGGCATGCATCTCCAACAAATGCAAAGACGTCACCCTCCCCAAGCTCGTGCAGACAGAGTTCAGTGAAGTTGCTGTGCGCCGAGAAGTCCTCGAGTGTGTGTAGCGCAGCGCCGAGGTGGATAAAGGCCTCCTTCTTGGATTTTGCATCTTTTTCTCGTCCCAGCCTGATGCACTCGCGAAGTTGTGTCGTGACGTAATCGGCAGACGTGTCCCATCCCTTGCCTGAGCTGGCAATATAATTCTTCATGCCGGTCCTTGGGTCAAACTCCAGCTCCCGCTGATCCAACGGCCCTCTCAATCTCTCATCAACCTCCTTCGCGTTGTCTGGATAGCCCTTGGGATTGTCAATGTGTTCCACATGCTTGTAACATCCCAGCCGTTCCCGCGTCACCTCAAACTCGTCTGTCGCGAAGCCGAATTCGAGAAAGCCCAGAATGCTCACAATGGCCCGAAGCACCGGCTCGGGGACATTTTCAAGACCCGTCGTGTCGATGATTTGAGAAAAGTCGCGAAGCCAGTTACCAAAGTAGATTTGTCGTCGTTCGAGGGTCGAGAAGCGATAATGTGTGACGAAACTGGCTGGGAGGTAGCGAAGTGCCTCTACAATGTCGCCGTGCCGCCACACGTAGCCGTTGAATTCGCTAGCGCCAGCGACCTCTCCAGCTCCAAAGGCAGACGCGCGCCCAGCGAAGAGGAGGCACACCAGCACAACCAGAAACAGTTTTGTTGACGCTGATGTCATTTTGAGGAATGAAACACGACCTCCCTCGTGGATGCGCCGGAAAGAGATTACATCACCAGTCCGGATTTTAGTGTCGGATGATTGTGAGGCCGTGCTCCGATCATGTGCCGAGTCTGTGCTCGTGGCATCAGCATCGTCAAATGGATGTCTTTCTTTCGTGCAGGTTCTTGCTGTATTCCCTCTTCTTCCAGTTCCCAAAATAAATCAATTTCTCCATTCCCAGGCGTCTTAATCACAATACAGCGGTTGAGACTCCCGCAGGCCAGCACTGGAGAATGCGTATGGCTATTTGACCATTTGTTACGTGCGAAACGCTCTGTTGGATTACTTGAGCCATTCCCACAAGCCTATCATGTCCCCCAGCCGAGGCATTCGCAAAAATTCTATCGCTTCTTAGGACTTGAGTCCAATGAATAGGGTCAAGATATCTAGTTTTTGTATCAATTTGACAGCTAATCGTCGTTATTTTGTTGTGTCACAACTGTGCGACTCAACTCTGTAGGGTAGTGTGGCATCCATGTGGCCAGGGGTATAAGTAGGTGTGATAAAGCTGTTCCTATTATTTAAATTCCACAAGCCTGATGGGTAAACAGGTTTCATGCGCTGATGTTGAGACCCATAGATGAGGAAAATGAAGCATAGGCACGAGAGGAGATCGCGAAAGTTATTATGCAATTAAAGTGAGATGTACAGGAGCCGGCCCTGCCACTCAAAAATTCAACCAAGATCCCGAACTCGCTTCCACGTTCATGTGCCCAGTTTGACGATTGATTTGCTCGGCATTTTCAAGTGCCTGGGCTGTTTGGCTTCGTCGCCACGTCGGCGCCTTGCTTGTCAACGCGCCCCTGCCCTCGAGGTACCAAGCTCGGAGCTGCTAAAGGGTGTCCAGATGCCATGGAGACAGCGATGGGCGAACGAGACTTTTGTGCTTCCTGGGTGGCCTTGAAGGCGATAGCTAGAGAGCAATGTTATCATGGGGACTGAGGTGTGCCGGGGTTGAGAAGAGAAGACCTACCAGCTACTGCGGTAGTGAATAACACAACAGGAAGAGCCTTTGACACGCGAGCCATGCGTGAGATAGCGGGAGCTGGCTGGGGCGGGAAATCGAAGGGAGGAAGAGCTCCGCCGAACGAGTTGGTGGTCATGATGAAGATGGGAGGTTGTCAAGGCTGTGGTGCAGTTATGTTTGTATTGTTATGAATGGAGGAGACTCAATTGAGCCAGTGTTTTGTTATGGAGGAAAGTGTATGAGATGGCGATGTGAACGAAAGTCCGGAAAGGATGAATAGGCCATTCTCTTATACCATCTCTCACGCATCCCTATTCTATGCCATTTGGACCTCTTGTTTGTCTTGGCCGGTCCGTCCCGTAGTGATGAGGTCGCTCCAAGTCAGACCACAAGCCATGGTCCTCAGTCGTGCAAGGGGGCCGGATCTGGTCGTCGCGAGATTCGTACGATGAGCGTCAGAGTCTGGTGACAGGACCTACCAGGCTGGGAGATAAATGGCGTGGCGTTGTGGGGTTATGGGCAGGTTTCTCAACTGCCTTGAGTACCCTCCATGTAGGGCATCTGCTGATTCATTCATGCTACCCTACTCCTTGCTTGCATCTACCGAATCTCGGGACTTTTCAGTTTGTCCAAGCACCTCAGATCTCGTCTAGGCGAGGCCACACATCGACTCAATAAGATTTTCTCCATCTTATAGTGACACATCACAGGAGGGGTGATAGACAATCTTGAAGCATAGGAAATGGTGAAAAGTTGTGCTTTAGGTGACATTGGCATTGGCAGGGAGTTTCTCCATTGGAACTGGGTGCCGCGAGAATAAGCCGGAGAAGCCATTCTAAACAAGGCCATCGGTGAACTCCGTTCCGATCTTTCGCGAGAAAATCATCTTTAGTCAGCATCAATGGCACCTACCTAACTCCAACGGGCAGAGACCCCGCGATCCTTAATCAAAGACGCGCCCTCCAGGCCAGGGGGGTTCGTCATCAAGTCCAATTGAGGTGGTATGATTGCCAATCTACCATAACTACTCGTGCCAATAGTATACCACACAATAACCAACGCAGGTTGGATGACGGGCATACACACAAAAGGACAGACGGGCTCGGATTGCTTGGTAGTTACCGATTGGTTAGATCGGAGCGTGTGATGCCTCAGAATTGCTGTCCGAGGCGCCGTCGATATTGAACATGTCCATCTCGCAACACCCAACCTTGCCAATGGATACCATAAACGAGCTCACGACACGTCAGTGTAGCACTGCACACACACTATTCTGCTTTCTGATTCGTCTCGATGGAACCGGGACGCCCACCGATGCTTGACACATTGGCAAGTTGCCATCCCTGCCCGCGACTTGAGCTTACGGTAGTATTATTAGGGGCGCCACTAATGGCGAAAATGGTCATGACAACACCAAAATAGAATATGCCGAGTGTGCCTGTGAAGTGGTGGGCGGAAGTATTCAAGACTTTTGGTCACTACTCTCTGGCGAAACTTGTTGTGTGTTTGCCGGCATGTTCGTTTGATGATGGTGTATTTACAATGACGGGCCTGACAGCCGGACATGAGGGAAAGCCCACAAGATTGGTTCTCTTTTCTGCTCTTTTAGCCTGCGCGGTCTCTTTGGGCGAGTCTTGAAGGGTAAAGGCAAGAGTTTGCGAGTCACGGTCACTAATAACCCTAATTCTATAGCTTTGCGACCCACGTTGTAGCTGGCAGGCTGGCATACTTCTCGTATTCCTTTAAACGCTCTGCGTTGCTTATCGCGACAACGTTCTGCACTCTCTCCCGTGTCACGACGCTCCTCACGGCCTTTTCAACCTTCTTACCGCTCATGGTGTACGGAATGTCCCTGACGTGAAGAATATGCGCCGGGACATGCCTCGGGCTCAGCAACGTCTTTATGGCACCGCGGATCTTGGACTCCAGCGCCTCATCAAAAGTTGCGCCCTTCCTCGTCTTGACGAACAGCAGAACCTGCTCCTCTTGGTCCTGGGGTCGCCGCTGGCCTACCGCGATGCTGTCATCCACCTCGGTGAATCTGCTGACCACGTCGTATATCTCGGCAGTGCCAAACCGAACTTCTTGAAAGCGGTCAGTTTTCTCGCGTCAAAACATAAACATGCGGAGGCCATCTCACCACCAGGGTTGAGGACACCGTCGCTACGACCATGGACTAGGTAGCCCTTGGTCTTGGCATTCCTGCTGATAAAGTCTCCATGAGCGGGGCGTGTTGTATCGACGAGTGTCAGTCGTGTGAGCTAGGACGGAATGACGATGCACTTTTGGTCGAGAGATTTAGGAAGATGGGCAAGCCCGATAGGGATCACGGCCACGAGGGAAGTCGTTCCAAGAACAAAAGGCGCCTATTTCTCTGCCTTTCGAAGCTCTTCATCACTGTGACGTGACATACACAAACTCGCATTGCGTTCTTTGATGCAGTTGAAGCCCGGTCCTTGATGGGATGGATGACTGAGCCAGAAGGCTGGTTAAATCAACATACATAATCGACATACGTATTTGGCCTTCAAATCTCCGCCCTTGCCACAGTCATGTCAATACTCGAGGAAGCCGTGCCACGCGGGTGTTAGTTGGCGAGTCATCAAGGGGGGTCAGGGGCAAAGGCTGGGATAACTATCATAAAGATGATTTACTCAATTGACGATACGTTTCAAAAAGTCAATGCGCTATCTTCGTAGTTTAGTGTCAATTCGACTCTCTTGAGGGATTGGTCAAAGGCAGCAGACTTGGTGGCGAGCCATGCAACACCGTGGCGCTGTGAGAAGCCTATCGCGCTGTGAGAAGCCTATCGCGCTGTGAGAAGCCTATCGCGCTTGTTTGCAAGGACACCCATTGTCAGTAAAGCACATCCCATGCCAAGCCCTGTATCAGGAGCGACATTTGCGATTCACGGCATGGGTGCTCAGGGCTTGGACCATCGTATCGCTAGAGAGCTCGGGGGTTCGCGAGAATGATATAATAATAGCGGAACAATACGTCAGGTCAGTGCTAGAGAGACTCATTAAATGTGGATGAAAGGTACTCTTTTTGGGTTGTTCAGCGTTTGAACTTGACCTGATGGCCTGGTGAATATCCAGTTATAAAGAGCAAAACCTAGTTATAACTAACTGCAATTAATTATAACCAGTTACAAAGGGTTATAACTGGTCACGAAAGGTTGTAACTAGTTACAAGTAGTTGATTCTGGTATTACCTAGGGGTATGCTCCTCTCGAGGATAGGCCGAGGGCTATGTAAACAAAGTCAAGTGGGAGGTACTATAACTATTAGATAAATGGACTAGCTCTTATAATTTTAAGTAGACAGTGAGGGACTAAACTTAGTGTGTCATAGAGGCTATGGAAGTGGATAGGCATCTAAATCATTAATCATACATGTCGAAAATAAAGATGGAATAAATGGCTGTTGATTATAAATATCCAGAGTACCTCTAACTACATGAGATTTATCTATAATGTACCGAGACTCAACTTGTAGAACAACTATCAACAGAGCCACTGATTTCCCCGACCCCTCATCCCCTCATCCTCCTCGCCATCAGCCCACACCTCACCCAGATCTTTCCTCACTACTTCTCCTCCCTTCCAAAATTCCTTCTGTCCTGTGACCAGAGTCCTTGAAGGCACTTCAGTTGCCAACATACTTGACGGTGACAGAGGTACCGCTAATAGATCCCTGTGCAAGAACGGTTTGGCCCTCGTCGGGGGAAATGTCGATAATGTCGGCACCTTGTGGGCCAGTCGACCCGCTAGAGCCAGACACGGTAGCACCGGTAAAGGTGACAGTGCCAAAGTCGGCGAGAGTGACCTGGCTGCCATTCTCCTGGAAGGCCTCGACAATCCACTCGGCATTGGTCTCACAGAGCGTGGAAGGGGTGCTGCTGAACGAGTGTGTCACCTTTTGGTTTGTCGTCAAGTTCTCGAGCGTGGCGATGCCCTTGGTCTTGGAAGAGGCATCAACCGTCATCCTGATCTTGTCGCCTACGCTGACACGAAAGTTGCTGAAGGAGTAGGCGTAGTCAGGAATCCACTCATACCACGCGTCAAAGGTGCCATCAGCGTAGAAGGAGATTCCAGTCTGCAGGATCGCCGTCTGGCAAGTATCGCCGTCGATACCAACCCAAGCAGAAGCAGCTGCGCCGTCGGCACCGCTGACCTCTGGGACAGTGATGGTGCCCTGGACGTGGTTGTAACCTTTGCCGATCTTGACAGCACCGGCCCAGTTGCCCGAGTAGTCGTCATTCGAGGCCTTGGAAGAGTCGAGAGACCAGAGTCTCTGGTTAGGAGACGAGCTGTATCTGGCTCGACGGGCAGAAGAGCGAGGAACAAGGGGAGAAGTGTCGCGTTGAACGAGCTTGGTGCCAGGAGCAGCGGCAACAATGCTGGCGGCAGCGAGGAAGAGGCTGAACTTCATCTTGAGGGAAGTTGAGTTTAAGGGATAAGTAGGGTAGTAGAAAAGTGGACGTTGAGTCGAGGGAGGCAAGATGATGACTGTGTTGCTGTCGATGCTGTCGATACTGAGCTGGATCTATTTTTCTTGGCAAACATGCCATATATACTTGTCCCTTTGCCCTCCTTTTCGGCAACACGGCATCGTGTCTTTGAAATTGCTCAGGTATTCTATCAACTACCATCACCTTGTGTGATGCTCGAGTGCCGTTCTTCCGGTGACTGGTCTCTTTACCGCCGCGGAAAGGCAGGTGAGGTTGTTCAAACGCACCACGTTGGCATTGTGTCTATACAGGGTGAAAGCTCCTCCCTATTTAGGAAGCATCAGAAGTTCTCTACTCGCGTCGGTTGTATTACCATTTCCCTCTTTAAAGAGTTGTTTTTTTAAAATAGCGCTATGACTTAAACTAACACCCATGCCGAGGAGCGGATGTGGGAGTGGAGATTGTGATAACGGACTTGATGAATCATGGCAGTTGATTGGAGCACCATCACTTTCAGCTGGGTTTCATCACATGGAAGTGCCGGGGGAAGAGCATGGCGGTAGCTTGTAGATACGACGCACTATTCTCAAAGTATGTCTCTTGTCCGCCAGTTGAAACAAACCAAGTCGATGCGTGCTCCTTGTGCGTGCATTTTAGCCAGGCTCTTTTTGTGCTGTTACCTACCCGAGACCTATGGATATTCCACGAACAAGGAGCAATTTTGCAATCAAACATTGTTAAGCTCTTGCTTTGAAGAATTTTTGATATCAGACGGGACTTCTTATAACAATTCCGGAGTATTTACTTTAATTTTACCCTTGGTATCTTTTATTGGGGGCAGAAGAGTCTACTTGGTAGCATTGACCAAACTAGCTGGTTGGGACAAACATCAGTTACGAGCCATATTGTAAGGGTTGGGTAGGAATATCGTAACTGTTTCCCCGGGACACGGTTTATGGTTGTGAGTGGACGGCTGACCTTTTCTATCACCAAGTCAAACGCGGTCTCTCGGCGAACCAACTTGAATGGAAGGTTATAATAGGTCTAGGCTCCAAAATCCTTGAAACTGGACCATGAGTGCCTAGAACAGTCAAGATCGTCATAGCCCTAATTTCTTAGCCAGTCGTTCTAGAAACATAGCTCTATCACGCAAGTCAACACTTTAAACAATACAAGTGTGCCAACAGCAAAATCAGAGAAGATTATCGTGCCGGGCTTAAGGAATACAGCAGTGATTTTCTAGGAATTCTCTTATACGAAAACAAAGGCGGTTAAAATCAAGTCGTGGAAATAATACTTCGACCTCGTCTTCAATTTGCTGGCCTGAATGCTTGGGTACTGCACCGTCACTTACTGGAAAAGATGCCATGGGATCAGTGCCCAATCGCTCATGTCATTAACATGTGAGCACAGCACCCTCGTCGTCGTTCGGTCATGATATCCATTACAGTGCGGCAACAATACAGCTTCCTATTTAGGTCACATACAAAAATTCCGCAACTATAAACCAAACAGCCGGAAGATCGGCACACCAGCCATGCATGTCACCCCTGAAGAATTTCGTTGCGTAAAAGGGCTCTAGGCCGAAAAGTCGTACTGATACAGTCGAAACAGAAAGCAGTGAGCCTCATGTAGTTCCGGAAGACGTTGCAAAAGATCCTTTGATTCATTGGACCCTGATCTCAGATATCATGGACGGCAAATGTCTGAGCCAACGGGTAGTTGGAGATTAGCGTGCCGGTTAAGCCGGCGTCGGCTCCACCTATGGGATGTTTAAGCCCGGGGGAAACTCCCCATCCCATATGGCGCCGGGGTCCGTTATCGAGATCTGCAATCCCCTAGCCAGGCTTGGCAGGCAACATGGGCAAGTTGCCCATTAGGCCGGGTTCTTTTGCCTATGGCGCCATTTGGTATTAATCGAAGAACCCCGAATAGCCGGAAACCAGCGACTGTCTGGTAAGAAGCCATGGCTCTCTCCAGCTGCAAGGGCCCAGAATTTGATCACTCCCTTGGTGAATGGTAAACTGTAAGTTGCATCTTTTTACACTTCGTTTTGCATACATGGGTGTTTCACCAAGACTCGAACAATCCGACCTACTGGGCGTTCTCTGCGGCGCCTAGAGCTTGTGCTGATAGTATTTTCTCTCCAAGAATGTTGTTGCTCGTGTTTACCAGTCAAATGGGTTGATGGTTCCCACACTCAATACATTCTCGTTGCCTATTGGACGATGTGACACGGGAGAGTTTTATTCAGATCGATGAAATAAGGAGACATGAATGGACACAAGTGTAAAAACAGTCATGAAACGATACTGGCTCGTACACATCGCTTACGTCCTCTCTCATGCACTGTCGTTCTATTCATCAGCTCATCACATCACACAGCGTTTCGTGATGTAGACTTCCTCCAATTCCATTGTCTCCTAAGGGTTTACTGAGAGAGCCGATTCAATCAACAATGTAAAGGTTCTAGCGTCAGGAAGCTTAGCGGCCTTGACCAAGCGCTCAGTCAGGCTGTTCCTATACTTCGGACATTCAACTTCATTGGAAACATTGATGCGGATCATGTACGCCACAATTGTGATCTGTTCATAGAGGGCCCTCTCCTCGTCAGCTTCAGAACCGCTTGGTCGCGGGGTTGGCGTAGCTTCGGGGATGTTTTCCAAGCGAGAAGCGGCGGGTGGTTGAGGAACCGGTCGAGCAGCTCTCACCCCTGGAGAAGGGTCTGAAGCCGACCTTTGGTGGTGGGAAAAGATGGGCTGGATCCTGGGGTCGGAACGCTACAATGGCGTTCCTTAGGATCTTGGTGTCTCTTCTTGGCTATGAGAAGGCTTGAGGTGGACTGGTTCTCGGCCTCGATTGACAGCTTTTTGCTCCGATGGCCATTCTTGGTTGGCGCTAAATACTAGGGCCAGCTTCACCCTCGTCATGCCCTTGTTGTCCAGTTTGGCCGCGTGGTTCTTTTATGCAAGAAGACTCGCTCCGGTGATGCTCAATGTTCCACGGCGACTGAATCGTTGGGTTGATGTTGTTATATTGGGAGAAGTAGTTGGAATTAATATCGTTTGGTGGCCCCTTGTCTTTATTGTACCCATCCTCTCCTTGAGTAGCTATATAGGGTTTCTAATTAGTTATGTACGTTTTTTTGGCTGTGAGATTAACGTGGCTGTGAGTGGCTAGCTGTTTTAAACAGTAGGTTAAGGTGCCCCTGAGCTTCTTTGTTAGGATAGTTTGGTAGGAAACATCGGCTTTTGCGTACTTGAGCATGTCCAAAGGCTCGATGAGATCCTCCAGGGGTGGACATTTCATCCCGTGATCCTGCCCACTGACATCCTCATAATAACATCAACTTTACCAGCAACAACCTCCAACATCTCTTCCGCACCATTCGATTTCCCCTGATATCATATACTCCTCCATCCGCTTGACCAGAATTTCTTCTCTTACCCGTTCCTCTTCATATCTTCTCCCGAGCGGCAACCACGGGCCCTCATTGGCCATGGCTCGTTTCTTTGTTCTCCCCCTCTCAGGTGGTGGCTGAGGTTCAGGCTGCAATTCTTCCACATCACAACTTCTTCCCCTTGCATTACTCATCTCCCCTCGCCTTGAGCGACGTTACAGCCATTTCTCATCAAATCCATGCTTCCCTGACCTAATCATCCAGGCCTGGAATACCCAAGAGATCAACGAAGGGGTCACGCCTACGCAGAGTCTTCCCTCCTTCAGACCAACCCCAACTTTCGATAGTGCAGCGCGTCAGGGGCCATCAGCATTCATCTCCTTACCGAACGCGACTGATAGAACGGCTACAACGGCTCACCGCTGAGTCTCAGGAACAACACGGCCTGCCGCCAGATTCAGATCCCGATATCAAGATGGGGCCACAGTCGGATCCCGATGTCGAGATGGAGCCGATGAAGGGCGCGCAACCCGGCCGGCATTCCAAGAGAAGAAGGGCGCCGTCTCCAAGTTTGCATGACGTTGTTACCTCCCCGGTTATCGACGTGAATGCGCCTCTGTCTTTGCCGTCAGACAGTGACAGATGTGCCCAACAACCGTGCAACCCTACTCCTGTGTTCCAGTTCCAGCAGCTACCCCATGCTCCTCCTCCTCTTAACTCCATCCGACTTGCCATTCAGCTTCAGCCCGATAACACCCCATTGCCAGTAGAGCTCCTTGTCACGTATGATGAGGATTCTGCCCGCCTGCCCCACATACAACTGTACTCAGATGAGGCAACTCCCCATGCAAACTCTCTGAAGCGTACCCACAACAGTGACAACGCCATTATAGAACGGCTGAGTAAAAGGCAGTGTCACGGGTCACTCTATTCGAGCACTCACAAAAACATGTCCTTGGGCCAACGGGTGCATCATGTTGGCTACCAGACCTTGATTTAGAGAAGGTACGGACGGTAGCTTAGCTCGTAGGTCCTTTTCAAAAAGCCAGGCCGAAACTCACACGTCCCGTCACCGTTCAAGTTACGTGGTTGATCTCGGGATCGTGAGGGCATTCGCAATAGCTGATGATAGAGTGCCGCTGCTGTCGTCGTCTGATCCCGACAACCTCACTTCGTCCAATGCCATTTCCCCAAAGCCGTCTTTGCGCGATTTCGAACCTCTTGTCTTCAAAACCGAGCTTCCCTGTTCAAATCGACAAGTGACGCGCAATCCACTTCACCAAAGGGTGGGCAGCGACGTGTCACTCACCTTCAGCAATGTTACAGGCTCACCAATCGGCTGGTTTCTGAGTCCACATCTGGCCAAGATTTCCAGATTCGCTATCTTGTTGTTCTTGGTTCTGTCATTGGTGTTGATGCCAATCCATTACCGTTTCGACCGCAGCCCTCCGCTGCCTTCCAAACCATCATACCAATCTGTGTCGTGGTTTGAGGACGCTGCTACTATTGAAATCGGCAAAATGACCATTGCCCGCATCGTCCTCTTTGGGGAGGTGTTCGACGAGGAACCGCATTAGAAGTGTTAGCCTGGCCTTCGCCCGGATGACAGACCAGACGATCATTCTGGCTCTAACAGATCATGCAACATCATGATGCCGGAAGATCCCCTGAACTCGTCCTTTCACTTTCAATTTCACCATAAGCCATGGGAAACCACCTCCTCCGGTACATACGTACCAGTATTGTGGTTTCTGGGCGATCTTATCACGGTCATGCAAACGACAGTCGCCGACCTGACGCACTTGGCGAACCATGGCCCTTTGGCATTCCTTTTTACTAGCAATAGCAGCATACAATTCCGCTGGTCCACTTCAGATGGCACGTTTGTTCAACTCCAAAGGTCTCTACCTACCTTCACATTCAACATCGCCGACAGCAAGTCTCCTGGCCCGACGGTCCCAGGCTTGACAACCCCCGCTCACCAGTCTCCAACCCCGACCGCCAGGCCCCAATGGGTTTGGGAGATTTAAAACCTTGACCCTCCTCTTGAGAAAATGTCGCGTGACTTGACAGAGGCTCTGGAGAACACGAAGCGCACGTATCAGGTCATGGGCAGATATCTAGCACACACCTTCCCATGGCTGTCGAAAGATCGTGCTCTGCTCATGCTGATGTGTATGCGGGGACTGCAAGAGGAGCAGCGTGAACTCAATGGCACCTGGGGATCGGATCAAGCTCGAATCAACTCACTTTACGGCACAACATTGACCACTAGCCTTGCCCAGCCAACATCGACAGCCGCTCGTGCCATAACAACAAGTGGCCCGGACACCTCAGACATCCCAGAAGAGTATCCCCTCAGAGTATTTGAGGCTCACGAGTCATGGGCTTCATGCTCTCAACGCTATGACGAGTCCGTGTCAGCGTCATGTGCGTCCCCCGGAGCCCACTGTTACTCATGTGTTAACAGACTTATAGCAGAAGCCTCTGCCGCGGCGTTTGTCCCGCCATTCAACCTAAGCGATGCACCAGAGCCCAAAATCAACGAGACAGCAGTCAGGCTGCTGAAGTGCATTGGCATAGTTGTTAATCAACATGACGAGGATGATGTCGGGGATGAGTACAAGAAGTTTCAAGATCTCGAATTCTTGAGTCAACAGCTTGGCAAGGTAAGCGAGCTGCTCCCAGACATCAAAGATCGGATCAGGCAGGTATGTCATGCCAACAAGGTAGACTGGGGCCATCACAAGGAGAGGGTCGACCGCATCTGCGATATGTCGCCTTTCCTCAACGAGATTGCCATCCCTTGTCTCACGGCTTAGCATCAGGAAAGCTGCCTTGGGACGAGTTCAAGAAGGGTGCTCAAGTCATCATGAGCAAGACCAAGGCCCTTTTGAGCCAGATCGTAGCCAGCGCAGACATACTCTGCACCACTCCGGCTATATCGAACGACCCCATATACTTTAGATAGAAGACCAAGGCCAAGGGCATCACTATTAATAAGGCTACCAACATAAATCGCGCCGACCTCATCTCTATCTAGGGCAACACCCTCCTGCCTTGCTTCCTCGGCGGAGATCCCAAGCAACTCCCGCTGACTATCCTCACGAGCCTAGAGAAAGACATACTCGGCAACTTCCACCACCGCCTCCCCCATAATAGCAAGATCTCGGCTCTTAAGTTCCTACAGGCCTCAGGCATACCCATCTACCGCCTCAGGACCCAGCTGCAGATGGCCGAGGGCCTCTTTGACCTTATGGCTACGGAGATTTACCCCGGCGTGCCCATCAAATACGCCGGCAGCTACCAGATCGACCTCCCGCAGTTTGCCATCAGTAGGGCCCTCGAGGCTTTCATCCAAGACAAGTTTCCGGATATAAAGGCCCCAGCTCCCGGCCGCCTTACCCCTTTCTTTATCCACTATGACAACTCCCGCGTCTACCTTAACGAAATGACTAGGGCAAAGACATACCCCGACCAAGTCGAGATTACCCTAAACTTAGCTCTCGAGTTCTCCCAGGCCAAGGCCATCAATCCGGCCAAGCTCGTCATACTAGCGCCATACACGGCCAACATTAAGGCCATCACCAGGATATGCAAGAAGGCCCAATACTCGCTTCTTGCCGCCATGCCCGAGGCCTTAACTATCGACGGCTTCCAAGGCCAAGAGAACGACGTCGTCATTATCGTCATGGGCACAGCCTACCCCTTTCCAGGCCCCGGCTTCACATCAGACGCGCAGCGCCTCAATATCATATTAACGAGATAGCGGGCTAGCCTTATTATCATTAGTAATATAAACGTCACCGGGCAGCTCATCGGAGGTCAAGACAAGGGCAAGGGCAAAGGCAAGGGGAAGGCCAAGGGTAATAATGGGGACAAGCCGGTCAAGGTACACGCGCCCAACGGGGAGGTTATCTGGACCAAGGTGAAGGTGCTGCGCAACCTTCATATTGCGCTATGGAAGGCTAGCCGTGTTAGGGTTGTGAAGAAAGAGGCCAAGGAGGCCAAGGAGGTCAAGGAGGTCGAGGAGGTCAAGGCTAAAAAGTAATTAACTCTTAGTCAGAATATGGGTTATCTAGCTACCTAAAACTAGTAATTATGCCGACTACAAACTTTTGCTGTGTTCTTAAACCTCTTTCCTGTATTCTTAAACTTCTTATTTTATGTGAATTCTTTGTTAATATCTTATCCTTACCACTCCAATAATCAGTCTTTAGTCACCACTTCTCGACTTACATATGCTATAGGTGCTATGAGTATCTCAACTTAATATCATTACCTGACGTAAGGTTATAACAATGTGCCTAAGTGTACGAAAATGCTTGAAACTCCTTAGCTCATTACGAGGGGCGCTCCTAAGAGACATGGTTTTAATTGCGCCATGCCTCTAGAAATGAGCCTTATCCATAGACTATTGGCACGTGTTTTGTGATTTCTTAATTCCCATTAAACGCAAATGAACAAGAGATGGCCTTGGTTGCCTCATCTTGGAATAGTTCAGCACATTGTAAAGGGCAGCTTATTTATATATATCGGATTTATACAAATAATGCGCCGTTATGGAGATTTCATCTTCTAGCCCAGCTGTTCTATTAAGGGCCTAGCTTCAACTTGGACAAACAACTCACTCATCAGAGAGAGAATGCGATCAAGATCATACCTGAAATTCTAGCTCAAATTGATCCCGCCGTGAGGGGGTGTAACTGGCTGTTCCCCAACTATAAGACCCTAGATAAGCTAATTTTATGCGCCAGCTCATTACTTCTTGCAACATGGCCTAGAGTGTTCCACGTTCAGGATCAGGGCCAAAGTATTGCTTAATGCTGGAGTTTGACATTATTAATGTGATCATAGCCTGTCTTTGTCTATTGCGCTTCTTGGGATGTTGTTGCGCCCATGAACAGCAGAAAATCTCTTGGTAAATGTGTCTGGTTGATGTCATGTCTTCAATAGAGAGTGGGTGAGCATGGTGATGTTGCTGTCTGTCATCTTGGCGCTCTCACTATATGCGCCGAGTGACTGAACTTGCAATCACCCACAGATTGAGATCATACTTCCGTTGGAATGGCGTAGTGGTGGGCCCCACTTTCTTTCTACCGATCTAGCCCAGTTGGAGGATTTATGTGAGAATCGCCGGGTACCTCTTCTCTTCTTTAGGGAGGACTCTCAACTGTCTCTAGCTCTGTCTCTGTTGGCCTCTGGCCCGGAAATAAGCCCATATTTAGATCACACAAGTAATACTTAAGGTCCCTGCGGCAAAGCAATAAAGAATAGTAAAGTTAGGGCCTCCCGCCTTTTCTCTTTTAGTCGGAGAAACCTTCCTCTGGGGCTATTTAATTATCGTGAGGTTAGAAATCGTAGTATTATTAGTAATATACTAGGGAATTTCCGCGCCAAGTAGGTTATAATTAAACCACCGCCTTATCGTGAGTTTATTTTCAACCTCAAGATCACGAAACAGGGCAAGAAGAAGACTAGCTCACAGTCATTAGATCTCGAAAAGGTAACAAAGGCTTTATCCATTAGAGATCCAATAGGCTGGGCCATTAACAAGAATAATTGCGAGAAAATCGGCAGGGTATCTGGCTTTATCACCGTAGAGGACTAACCTGGGTCTAATAGCAGGCCAGAAAATGGAGGTGAGGTTAATAAGCATACAGGATTGCAAAGGAAGTCGGGACAATAGACCACATCATACAAAGTAATAATTCTAGGCCCGTGGGGTAATTTAGTCACGATCTCAACCCAGCCGTAGCCCAGGACCCGCACTTCCTCTTCTCCAGCTATAAGGGTATCATCAGCCCTTGCGGGCTAATAACTCTTAAAACGGTTGATCTAATGCGAGAGGTGGATTATGGTTCCGAAGTATAGGATAGCTAACCTTCATAGGTAATACCAGGCAGCATAAAAGGCGGCCTTAACTACTCTTACCGTATCGGAATAGCAGCCAACGCCCCGGCCTATTCAGTCTAACTCGGTTGGTTTAGATGACCCCTTGGGATCTTTGAGCTTACCCTTCAAGTCTTGACAGGTAAGTCAGTATTTGACAGCATCTTTCATCGCCGGATTGGGTTCGAACCACAGAGGAGCCCTTAGAGGAAATACATAATAGCAGCTAGCTAAGTTATGGGTGCCGCCGCAGGCGTCACACCCAGACTCGCTGTTTGCTTAATCTTGGGCTTCGTTGGCCTTCATCCTTTTTAACTGAGAGGTCAGTTGGTCAGACTTGCGTCTTAGAGGCCCGTTTTTAGCCGAGCGGGCCCGGCAGATCAAGCAGGCTGTTGACTTTCCTGACCGGGATCCTCTTCCTAATCCGCCTGGTCAGCCAGACCCAGATCCTGACCATAAGTCGAGCCAAAGGCCCCTAGTTTGACCCGGGCTGCCAGGGTCCTAGCCAGCTGCTGTAAGCCACACCGGCTGGCCTCCGTGTGGTAGGTTCTTGGCCACGGTCCGGATAGCTAGAGTCTTGTCCTTTAGCTTATCTTGATGAATCCCTTGGAAGTTGGAGCCTCAGTTTCGTATGCTTGGCTCCCTGCTGACTCCCTTCAATTCCTTCCGAATTGTATCTGCTGGCTTAGCCAATTGTTCATCGAATTCTTAGATATAAATCGACCCGTTATCGCCTCTTCCATATACCGTCCTGATGAAACGTTTCGCCTGAGAGGCCCTTTCGACACCCGAAAATAGTCGTAGCTTGGTAGTGAATGGTTGAGACAACCTCATCCAAAGTTACTGCCATGTGTGAGGTAGGACTCCATTACCCAAAACACGTGCGGTCATCTACGGGAGCAGATACATGGAACTGACCTCTGCCTCGCTGCTTTCATGACATGACTGGAGGAGACGCGATAGATCTCCAAGATATGTGTGTTGGAACAATAAGAAACGAAGCGCGCGTGAAAAAATGGGATGAAAGGAGGTAGAAGAAAGGGACAAGATGGTGGCCGAGGAGGAAAAGAAATCCTAGCCCAAAGCAGTGAATGGAGGGATGAAGCCATCATAAACAGACCTAGCTGGTCGAGTAACTGTCTCTGTTTCATAGACCTGATTGGGACCAATCACTTTTTCGTGGCGGCTCTGGCTACCAGGAGGGCGTGGTTCGTGAAGGTGACGAGTTCTTATAGAACATGTAGGTATAGGATCGAATCTTGGGGATGGTGGATTAAAGATTGATGATGCCTGTTCATAGAGGCCTTGGTCTATCTACTACTGCGGCGAGTAGATTTTCACTCGTCTGCTGTCTACCACTGAATTGTTGCAAGACGGGTTTCGACTTGACCTTCAGCCTAAACAAAGGCCTCGTTGAAATTTAGGGCGTTTTAGGGTGTTGCGTTTTGATTCCGCCATGCTGTGATAGCTGTGTCTTTCACTACTGTAGCAAAATGCCTCTTCTGGAAAGATTGTAGCTCAGATTCGCCTTTTGCTCATGAGCTACAGCGGTTTACCAAATGTTTCCTTCTTGGATTTGCCCTTTTAAATATAGTCCGGCTCCTTGTTATGTTATCGACATTATCAACGGAAGCTGCTAGCCACGACAAGAAACCATGCAGTCGCCAGTACACGAAGGCATTGGATTCCAATGCCATGAGCTACTGTACCAATGTCCCATCATCAAAATCCCGCCAGACTGTCCCAGCATTCCTTCCGTTGATTCCGCACATGCTGGGAATCTGGTGCGGTGATCCGGTTCTGGAGGGACTATATCTGTCTGTAGATGGCCACAAGCAGAGGCCTCCGTCGCCGAACCCTATTGCCGACCACTTCTATTTTCAACACATTGCCAAATCCCTGACTCCGGCCCCCCCCCCCCCCCATGACGCTGCGAGTAGATCGGGGGGATAAAATTGATGCCGGCAACAACAATTACAACCTTTAAGGCTTGTCTCGTCCATCACGTGATATTGCCTCATAGTATGAAAGATCATATCTACACTATAAGCTGTTGAATGGAAATTATTCGCTTATCCAAGACTATTGCGCTCCCCGATCCCTAGAGCCCCAAAAAAGCTGACCAAAAAACTGATGACTGATACCAAAGCGCATAAAAGCTCTCCCACATGTCACTGTCTGACTTTTGACACGCTTTTAGCTCAAAACACTCGCCATATAGCGAGCACTAAAGTCCTAAATCTATAAAGGACCTCAAGAGAAAGACTGAACTCTCTATCACCGTTGCTTTGCTGAAGCACTCAAAATTGACTTAACACACAACTCGCCGAAAGCACAACATGAGGAAGCCCAGAAAAGGAGAATGGCATGTCCAGATGAATTTCCTCAAGGTCCTCTAAGAATTATAGTCTTCTATTTCAAATCTTCTGCCCATCCTCGTAACGGTGATAGCATTAAATATCGAGAACAAACATGCTGCATCCTTGTTTCGTGACACCATCCTCTCACCGAGCCGGACATCCCATCGCGATAGCTCACCACAAGGTCACGATCCCTCCTTTACAATTTTCATAGGAGATGCGGGAACCAGTACAGGCACGGCCGGCCGTGTCAATAAGGTCACGTGATATATTTCACGGCCGGCCGTGTAAATAAGATATGTTATGTTAGCCCGCTAATGTGCGTGTGTAAGAGATCCTCTTCTTTATCTAATGAAGCAGCCGTGATGCGTGTAATTAAATATAGTGAGTAATTTAATATAAGTGTAGCTATTTAATGAATTATATTATCTATTGGTATTGGTTATGCGTAGCGGATAAGGCTGCCTGAGGCTATGAAGCATACTAAGGTAATAATAATAATATAAGTAAATCGACTTAACGCGTGAGATATATAAGGCCGGGATTTCTCTGCTAAAAGATGCTCTCTATTTTTATATATAATACTATCTTTAAGATATTTAATCGTTATTAGAGCTAGCGTTAGAACCCCCCTGATATCCCGATCTTTGTTAATAATATTATGACCCTAGTGATAAGTATACCTAGTAATCGATAGGTGCTGGCCCCTATCCCGAGTAACTAGTAGATTGAGGCACTAGGGCGTTATAATTATAATATAGTGCCTCCCTTCGCGGTCTAGTAGTAGTATGCGTAGTATACCTTGCCTATAGATAAGAGATTAGCTATAGTCTATTTTGATATAAACCCCGGGGCTAGGAGTAGAGCCCTTTCTATTGGCTACCCTCCTCGAGGTTAGCTGATTGTAGTCGATTTGATGGCGTGGGGATGGGAGGCTATGGGAAATTGGTATATTATATAGCTCGACTATGCCCTTAATTAATAGTATTACCGCCTTAATCCTAATATAACCCCACGGTAGACTCGCGGCATACTTAAGGGCTTAGATCTAGAGCTTCGTGGTCCCCCTTGGTATATAGTTAATGGGATCTTATGGCTAATGCCTGCCACGGGGATAATAAGGTATCTGCTTACTATCCGGGAGGTAGAGCGGATAGGGATCTATATCTAGAGTATTGACCGGAGTGGCTATATATCGTGGGTTTAGTAGGGCATATAATAGATAATTTAAAAGGCCGCCTTATAGGGTATTATTGCTCTATTATTACTTTTTATAAATATGTATAATAACTAAGTTTACTTTATGCTATATATATACTTAATTAGTACTTTATTAAATAGAGCTATTAGGCTACTATAAGTATACTTAGAGATTAGTATTTTCTTTATCTTTTTATTAATATATATTAATTATATGCTATATTACTCCTTTAAATATTATTAGGAGGGGTTCCTATTCTAATATAATCTCTCTTATACCTTAAGATCTTCCTTAGCGGTATTCTATATTCCCTATATACCTCGCCGCCCTAAGAAAGGCTATTATGCTATCTCTTTCCCTATATTACGCTTAATATACTTATTCTTAGCCTTATCCTAGTTAAGATAACTTATTTACTCTTCCTTAGTCTATTCTCTAATATTTCTTCCCTCCTTATAATATCTCCCTATCTACTTATAATTAAGGTATTACTTATATTCCGCTTTATTATAGCGCATTAATAGCCCTATAGCCTTCCGATATAATTAATTAGTCCTTAAGGCTCCCCGGGGTAATATAATATATTAGGCCGCTTATAAGTCCTTATATCATTAATAAATAGCACGGGGATTACTAGCTCATAGCATAGGGGCTTCCGTAATAGCTAGTAGCACTATTGCCGGAGGAGATATAACCCGGATCGTTGTATATATAGTTATATATATAGTTGTAATAGTCTCGGAGATAATAGAAGCTCTTAATAAGGACCCCGGCGATAATAAGCGGGTTATAAAGCGAGTAGATATTTATATTATCGTATGGGTTATTATCGAAGCCTAGGGAGGGGGACTTAATTCCTAAGGAGGAGGTTTAAGTAGATAATTATAGCGCAATAGGCATACTTTGGCGTTTATCTTATAGCTATGCTAATAATATCTTAAATATTTTGGCGGCGCCCTAGGCTATAATGCTCTCTTAATGGCTTCGAATATAGAAGGTTTATGCTATATACTTAATGAGGGTAGTATTAAACTAGTTACTAGATAGTTAAATAGCTTGCGAGGCTTAATAATAAGCTAGGGGGTTCTTAGGCGTTAGAGATACTAATGAGGATAGAAATGAGATAGTTAGAGGGGCTAACCTTGCGCTAATAAAGGTTAAAGGTTATAAGTATAAGGTAAACTAAGGGTCTTTGTGAATATACCTATATAGGCGGGAAGCTCTTTTAGTAGTTATGCCCGTTAATTATTGACCTTCCGTAAGCCTTTATGTAAGACCTAACCGCGGATAGTACTATATAATACCCCGGATACGTTAAGAGGCGTGCTTATTTACTGCCTAGCCTAGTTGGCTTTAAGTTTAGAAAGCTAGTTTAATAAAATACGCTTAATACTTATCTAGACCTTAAAGAGGTTAGCCCGTAAGTCCTTGAGATAGCCCTTAACGAGCTAATAAATACCCTTAGCGCGTAAAGTGATAAACTGCTTGAAGTAATGATATTAATAAACCTACGCCTTAATAAATCTCTCCTTATAGAGATCTAGCTAGGTCTCTATAAGGTAGCCTACCTCATTAGCATATATAGGAAGATAACGCTTCTTTAACCCCTCTAGTCTCTTATTATATATATCCTTAGTTACTAAAGCGATGACCTCGTGCTATAGGTCAAAGAATTACTTCTACTCCTCTTGCTACTTAGGATTACTCTTATCCTAAGTAAATAAGGGCATATAATAGCTTAGGACTGCCTTATTAATATGCCATAGGCATAAGAGTAAGGCTAACTCGGGGAAACAGTAAGGAGAAGAAATTACACTAATATAAGCCAGGTAGCGGTCTATGAATATCACAGAAGGGAGGGTTATTCCGTGGAGCTCATACATATACCGCAATCGTTAAAGGACCTAGATAAAGTCCTCCTCTTCCTCGCTACTTAAGAAGGCAAAGGTAATATAGAAGGATTATTAATAAGTATTAATACTAACTATATTAAGAAGAGGTATCTTATACTTATTAGTCTTATAGGTATAGTCTAATAGAAGTACCTTAGGGTATAATTTAAGGTATTCTAGTGACTACGGATATATAAATAACACTGCTATAATTCTATTACCCTTATCGATGCGAATATTATTCTAGAAGCTATTATTATCTAATTAAGAGGCAAGGGTATATATATTACTTTAACCCTAAGTAAGGTCTTGCTTGCCCTATATAATAGAATTATAGATATCTTGCTAGGTAGCGAGTATATTAGAGTTTATATATAAATATAATTTGATCTCCCTTAGCTAAATGCCGGCATTCGCGAGTTAGTAGACTTTAGCTTTATCTTAATGAGATAATTAATAATATACTAGATATGCTATTAGGCTAAAGCTTGGGGGATAATTATGTTAGTAGAAGCGAGTATTAGGGCGATGCCGAAGTCTTTATTGAGTACTATAAAGGCTCTCCTTTGCGGTAATAGAGAGGAGGTATCCTATGCGACGTAATATAGTCCTCTGGGTCCTTTCTTTGGTTGAGGGTATTCCCGACCGGTCATAGCTGAATGTGACCGTAACTCTCCCGTTGGTAGTCTTTGTGGACCGGGAGGATGTAAAGGCATAGCCTCGCGGCGCCGCCTAGGCGTTGATCGCCGTGAATAAGTCCTCTCGTGAACTGAAGTTGCCCTCAGGAGGAAGAACATCCTTAGGGAAGCCATGAGAGTTATTAATTGGATCTATTATATCGGTAGTAAGGCGCGGCAGCTAGACTTGATACCGTAGATGCTATTGATCGGTGCATAAGGGTGCTAACTGGCGGTGTGTGGCCCCTTGAGGCCATATATCCCTCTTACATAATATATCTTATTTACACGGCCGGCCGTGAAATATATCACGTGACCTTATTGACACGGCCGGCCGTGCCTGTACTGGTTCCCAGGAGATGCCCCTCTATCACGTAAGCAAAGCAGTCGAGAGTGATCAATAGTTTCCCCCTTGTATGGACGATGCTCATGGAAATGCTCTTCACTCATACATTGGACGAAGCAAGGCTTTGATGATCAACACGGCTTGCCTTGATGAGAAGATGATTCTATCCGAAGGCACTGACCCGAGGAATAGCTCATTCTGCCTTAGACCATCTATCGTAGTTACTACAACTTATCTGGTTGGACAAAGGGCCACAGGACCCACTGTTAGAGCAGAATACCTGGGTACGTGCCGGTACGTACTCCACCACGTGATGAGCAGATACCAGGACTCTGATTGGTTCCAGGATTCTGACCACCAATCAAATTGCTTAACGCTTTTGATTGGTTCTCGCACTCCGTTAGGTGGGTCAGCTCGGCTCAGACTTGATGGAGCTGCCCTCTGGCCTCTCATGGAAGAGTAGTGCTCTTGCAACAATTCCTTCTCTGACGGATTTGCTTTGATCAGATAAAGACGCCGACAAGGGTCAAGTTTTTCTCAGAGCAGTGAATCAAGTTGTAGCATGCCACCAGGCAGCCTAAGCTGGTAAAAACACCCTCACGGGTGGTGTCAGTTTCTTAGCTTAAGCTACTAATAATATTAAATTTATAAAGAATATTGATAGAGTAAGTCTATTCCTGAAAAAGTAATACATACAAAGTGTGGCTACGTGGTATAAATTGTATTCTATAACAAGTTATATCTCTCCCCTAGAGGAACACCTTATTATGAGAGATATATTGCCACTAATAAAATCAACGGCGGAACATCGTGTTTGCGCTTGACATCGTTCATAAGAAATAAAGGGAACCAATATAGGCACGGCCGGCCGTATTAATAAGGTCACGTGATATATTTCACGGCCGTGCATATAAATAAGATATATTATATAAGAGGGATATATAGCCTCAAGGGGCTATACACCGCTAGTTAGTACCCTTATGCACCGATTAATAATATCTATAGTATTAAGTCTAGCTACCGCGCCTTACTACTAATATAATAGATCTAATTAATAACTCTTATAGCTTCCCTAAGGATATTTTTCCTCCTAAGGGCGACTTTAATTTATAAGAGGACTTATTTATAATAATTAATACCTAGGTAGCGCCGCGAGGCTATACCTTTATATCCTCCTAGTCTACGAAGATTACTAATAGGAGAGTTATAATTATATTTAGTTATAATTAGTTAAGAATACCCTTAATTAAAGAAAAGACCTAGAGGATTATATTATATTATATAAGATATCTCCTCTTTATTACTATAAAAGAGAGCCTTTATAGTATTTAATAAAGACTTTAATATTACCTTAATATTTATTTCTATTAATATAATTATCCCCTAAGCTTTAGCCTAATAATATATCTAATATATTATTAATTATCTTATTAAGATAAAGCTAAAGTCTATTAACTTATAAATATTAATATTTAGCTAAGGGAAATTAAATTATATTTATATATAAACTCTAATATATTTATTACCTAATAAGATATCTATAACTTTATTATATAAGATAAGCGAGACTTTACTTAGGGTTAAAATAATATATATACCTTTATCTCTTAGTTAAATAATAATAGCTTTTAAAATAATATTTATATCGACGAGGGTAATAGAGTTATAATAATATTATTTATATATCTATAATTATTAAAATACCTTAAATTATACCTTAAGGTATTTTTATTAGACTATACCTATAAGACTAATAAATATAAGATATCTCTTTTTAATATAATTAATATTAATACTTATTAATAATCTTTTTATATTATTTTTACCTTCTTAAGTAATAAGAAAGAAAAAGATTTTATCTAGGTCTTTTAATAATTATAATATATATATAAGCTCTATAAAATAACTCTCCTTTCTATAATACTTATAGATTACTACTTAGCTTATATTAATATAATTTCCTCTTTTTATTATTTCCTTAAGTTAGCTTTACTTTTATACTTATAATATATTAATAAGGTAATCCTAAGTTATTATATACCTTTATTTACTTAAGATAAAAGTAATCTTAAGTAATAAAAGGAATAAAAGTAATTCTTTAATTTATAGTATAAGGTTATTACTTTAATAACTAAGGATATATATAATAAGAGATTAAAGGGATTAAAGAAGTATTATTTTCCTATATATATTAATAAGGTAGGCTACTTTATAGAGACCTAACTAGATCTCTATAAGAAGAGATTTATTAAGGCATAGATTTATTAATATTATTACTTTAAGTAGTTTATTATTTTATATACTAAGGGTATTTATTAGCTTATTAAGGGCTATCTTAAGGACTTATAGGCTAACCTCTTTAAGGTCTAGATAAATATTAAGTATATTTTATTAAATTAGCTTTCTAAACTTAAAGCTAATTAGGCTAAGTAATAAGTAAATATACTTCTTAATATATCTAAGGTATTATATAATATTATTTGCGATTAAGTCTTATATAAAGGCTTATAGAAGGTTAATAATTAATAGATATAATTACTAAAAGAGCTTCCCGCTTATATAGGTATATTTATAAAGACCCTTAGTTTACCTTATACTTATAACCTTTAATCTTTATTAATATAAGGTTAGCCCCTTTAATTATCTTATTTTTATCCTTATTAATATCTCTAATACCTAAGAACCCTCTAGCTTATTATTAAGCCTTATAAGCTATTTAACTATTTAGTAATTAATTTAATATTACCCTTATTAAGTATATAATATAAATCTTTTATATTTAAAGTTATTAAGAAAGTATTATAACTTAAGGCATTGCTAAAGTATTTAAGATATTATTAATATAATTATAAGATAAATACTAAAGTATACCTATTATATTATAATTATTTACTTAAATCTCTTTCTTAGGAATTAAGTCTCTCTCCCTAGGCTTTAATAATAACCTATATAATAATATAAATATCTACTCGCTTTATAACCTACTTATTATTACCGGGGTCCTTATTAAGAGCTTCTATTATCTCTAAGATTATTATAATTATATATATAATTATATATATAATAATCTAGGTTATATCTCTTCTAGTAATAGTATTATTAGCTATTATAAAAGCCTTTATACTATAAGCTAATAATCCCTATATTATTTATTAATAATATAAAGACTTATAAGCGGCCTAATATATTATATTACCCCGGGGAGCCTTAAGGACTAATTAATTATATTAAAAGGCTATAAGGCTATTAATATATTATAATAAAGCGAAATATAAGTAATACCTTAATTATAAATAAATAGGGAGATATTATAAGGAAAGAAGAAATATTAAAAAATAAATTAAGGAGGAATAAATAAGTTATCTTAATTAGGATAAAGCTAAGAATAAATATATTAAGTATAATATAAGGAAAAAGATAATATAATAGCTTTTCTTAGGGCAGCGAGGTATATAGGGAATATAAAATACCGCCGAGAAAGATCTTAAGGTATAAAAGAGATTATATTAAAATAAAAACCCCCCTTAATAATATTTAAAAGAGTAATATAATATATAATTAATATATATTAATAAAAAGATAAAAAAAATATTAATCTCTAAGTATACTTATAATAACTTAATAGCTTTATTTAATAAAATATTAATTAAGTATATATATAATATAAAATAAACTTAATTATTATATATATTTATAAAAAATAATAATAAAGTAATAATACCTTATAAGGTAGCCTTTTAAATTATTTATTATATACCTTACTAAACCTATAATATATAGCTACTCTAATTAATATTCTAGATATAAATCCTTATTTATTTTACTTCTTAGATAATAAGTAAATATTTTATTATCTTTATAGTAAGTATTAGCTATAAGATCCTATTAATTATATATTAAGGGGGACTATAAAGCTCTAAATCTAAGCCCTTAAGTATACTATAAGTCTATTATAGGGTTATATTAAGATTAAGGCAATAATATTATTAATTAAGGGCATAATCAAGCTATATAATATATTAATTTCCCATAGCCTCTTATCTCTATGCTATTAAATCGACTATAATTAGCTAACCTCGAGGAGGATAGCTAATAAAAAGAGCTTTATTCTTAGCCCTAGGGTTTATATTAAAATAGACTATAGCTAATCTCTTATCTATAGGTAAGGTATATTATATATATTATTACTAGACCGCGAAAGGAGATATTATATTATAGTTATAATACCTTAGTGCCTTAATTTATTAATTACTTAGGATAAGGGCTAATACTTATTAATTACTAGGTATACTTATCGCTAAGGTTATAATACTATTAATAAAGATTAGGATATTAGGGGGGTTTTAATATTAGCTCTAATAATAATTAAATATCTTAAAGATAATATTATATATAAAAATAAAGAATATCTTTTAATAAAGAAGTCTTAGCCTTATATATCTTATATATTAAGTTAATTTATTTATATTATTATTATTACCTTAGTATACTTTATAGCCTTAGGTAGCCTTATCTATTATATATAACTAATATTAATAGATAATATAATTTATTAAATAGCTATACTTATATTAAATTACTTATTATATTTAATTATATATATTATAGCTATTTTATTAGATAAAGAAGAAGATCTCTTATATATATACCTTAGCGGGCTAATATAATATATCTTATTTATATGGCCGGCCATAAAATATATCACGTGACCTTATTGACACGGCCGGCCGTGCCTGTACTGGTTCCCAGAAATGAAGGCGCCGTCTAGGCGCACAGGTCCTGTGTGCTCGGGGCACAGCCCCCCCTGTCGGCAGGCTAGGGGCACAGTCCCCTGACTAAGCATCCATCTTGACGCAATTCCAAGGGAGCAATTTTCAGGGGTTAAACATCTTTATCCTGACCTCTGCATCATGTCATCAATCAACCTCAATGGATCAATTTCCGGAAGACTGCTTACCTCCTGAGCATACATATGCATCCAGAGATGATCTATTCCAAGCGATCAATGACTGGGCATCGCCACGAGGCTATGCCTTTGTTACTGGAAGGTCCAACAAAAGCAAGTCTGGGAGGCTTACAGTATACTTCACTTGCGATCGTGCCCGTCGGCCTCCAAGCGCCTCAAGAAGCCGTGTTCGGGCAACCTGCACTCGAAGTACTCTCTGCCCATTCTCTGTCATCGCAAAGGAACTACCGGACGCATCTGGCTGGGTTGTACGACATCGATCGGATAGTCAATATGCTGTACATAACCATACGCCAAGCACCCACCCGACTGCCCATCCTGTTCTACGAAGGCTCTCAAAAGACGACAAATCAACAATTAGCAATCTTACAAAGGCTGGAATCAGCTCAAAGGAGATCAGGACCTATATGCGGCAACATTCAAATTCCATTGCAACCCAGAAGGATATCTCGAACAGTATCGCAGAAGCTCGACGATCATCTCGCTTTGGCGAAAATACAATGCATGCTCTCATTAACCAACTAGACCAAGAGGGTTTTTGGAATCGTATGCAGGTGGATAGTGAAGGCAGGGTTACGGCGGTTTTATTTGCTCATCCTGACTCACTTGCGTATCTGCAAGCGTACTCCGACCTTCTTCTTTTAGACTGCACATATAAGACGAACCGATATGGCATGCCGCTTCTGGACATCATCGGCGTTGATGCCTGTCAACGATCATTCTGCGTTGCCTTTGCATTCCTCAGCGGCGAAGAGGAACAAGACTACCTATGGGCTCTCGAACGACTGAAGTCGTTATATGAGATCTGCAATACAAGCTTTCCATCTGTCATTATTACAGACTGCGCTTTAGCTTGTATAAATGCAGTTGCTATCTGCTTTCCTTCTGCAGTCCTTCTGCTGTGCCTTTGGCATGCCAATAAGGCAGTCCTTGCTTATTGTCGACCAGCCTTTATTCAATACCGGACGGACCCAAAGATAATGGAGGCAGGGCTTCTTAGGTGGCAGGAGTTCTATAACCAGTGGCATTCGATCATTCAATCAGCTGATCAGATAACCTTCGATCAGCGGGTTCAGCAGCTTGAGCAGCGGTATCTACCCGCCTACGCCAATGAGATTGCATATTTGCATGCAACGTGGCTAAACCCCCACAAGGAGAAGCTTGTAAAAGCTTGGGTTGATCAACATCTCCACTTTGGTACTGTTGTTACCTCCCGTGTGGAAGGTATTCATAGCCTGCTTAAAAGCTATTTGAATACGTCTACACTAGATTTATTTGAGGCTTGGGGTGCCATTACACGAGCTGTTACCAACCAAGTCCATCAGCTACAGTCAAACCAAGCCCAGCAGCAACTTCGACAACCAATTGAGCTTCGTATAGCTCTATATAGCGCTGTTCAAGGCTGGGTATCTTTTGAGGCGTTGAGGAAGGTTGAAGAGCAACGAAAGCGGCTTTTGGATAAAAACTTCCCCCTGCCCCGCTGCACTGGCGTTTTTATGCGAACACTGGGATTGCCTTGCGCTCACTTACTTCAGACCCTGCAAGAACAAGGCAAAGTTCTTCTTCTTGAGCACTTCCACAAGCATTGGCACCTCAAGCGCTCAGGGCAGCAACAATTGCTTCTTGAGCCTCGCGCTCGAATAGATGCAAGGCCCGCCGTATCGAACTTGCCAAAATCAAGCACAAGAAGACTACCGAGCTCCTTTGAGGCCGCTGAGGCTATAGGAAAGGCAAGAGCGAAGGCCCCGTCAAAATGTAGTAGATGCCATGAAGTTGGTCACCAAATGAATTCGAAGGCATGTCCCTTGCGGCATCAAGAGCTTTTGGAAAGGGTAGCAGCAGAGGCAAAGGCACTGGCAGTAACAGAAGCATCGGCAATGACAACGGCACCGACAGCCCTCGCTGATCAGCCAGAGACTATGACCGGGATCCTGCAAGACTCGACCGGCGGCGCCTCTCGGCGGCCAGGATCCCCTGTTCATGAACCATCTCCTTTGCCTGGCCCGCCATCGCCATCGCCACCGAGGTACGATTCGCCACAGGCCATATATGGACGATATGTCGCCGCAAGGAGCGCGTGGTACGCAGCGCAGCCGGCTGGCAGCATCAAGACGAACCAACAATATCGCAGGGCAATGGGACTCCCACTAAGGTATGACAAGCCGAGCTACGAGTGGTGCTTGGACTACAAGCAGATGTCCAAGCGCTGTGTCACGTCAACAGGATCAAGAGATTGGACGAAAGAAGAGATGATGGCGTATTTGGACTGGAGTAAAGCGGAGGATGAGCGAGTTGAAGCACAGGTTGCCGAGGAGATGGGAGACGATCCTTTAGCGAATAGAAGAAGGGGAGTCAAAGATATTTGGGGGAGAATCGAAGCGGACAGTAGGGAACAAGATGCTTTGCACTTAGCTCGTGGGCGCACAGAAGACTGTATCATTGTTGGAAGTAATGGGTATTAGACGATCACTTGGTACAAAAGCTGTCGAGTATCCTCTAGTTGCCGTAGCTGTGTAAATTTGGATTGGATAACTCTCCCCACCCCCATTTCAGCAATCATATTTGAAAGGTAGTAATCGACTCTGTTAAATGCGTTGGTGTATTCAGTCAGTTCCTGATTCAACGGAAGGAAATGCTTAGTCAAGGGACTGTGCCCCGAGCACACAGGACCTGTGCGCCTAGACGGCGCCAGAAATGAATCCCTGCTTAGCTAATCATCGGGCCCTAATCAAACAGCTACTTGGCTTGCGTACAACTTTCCGGCTCTGGTCAGAACCCTGATGCTACTATCGCCGTAATGAGGGTGTCTAGCACCAGTCCTTTGATCATGATGCTAGCTGGTAGTAGCTTCATCATGTTGGCCAAATCGACTTTAACGTCTAGGACTGACTGAGAAAATCGTTGTGGCGCCATCTCGGCCTCCTGATATCTTTTCGCAAGTCTCATTGCTTTCGTTTATATGCCCGAGGGAGACTGGGGCTCAAACGTTGAGGACGTCTGCCTACGCATAATGCGCTAAAATGAACCCTTTCAGTGGATGCAAGCACGTCGAGATGTCATCCAACGAGTTGGGTTTCATGGCCTAAGCATGGGGACGGTGTAAATGCACAGTGCTCAATGCACTTGTTCCTTTCTACGCTCAGGAGATGAACGGCTTCACATGTCCAAAGACGTGTTGATCAACATGAGCGATTACGTCTATGACCATGACGTTGTTTAATATCATAGCGATGCCAGGTGCCTATGCTTGGACTTATATAATCGTGATTCCGCGCCTCCTCTACTGTCCCGAGTGTCCCGTGGCTGAATATCAGGACCAGCAAGTAGCATAGCGGTGTCACTCAATATTGGCGAAAAATGACATCGGTGCATATTGTTCATTGGTAGCCTGGATTGAAAAATGATTTTGGGCTTTGGTGACGAATACTTACATGAGTCGACCATAAAATCTTGGGGCGGATGGGTTGTGAAGGAAGGAATAGCCCATAGATTAGGTATTGTCCAACAATAGATCCAATACCGAGATCAAGCTATACCACGTCCTAGAAAGAACTCATCGACGGTGTGAACTCGGAGACCATAGGCCTAAGACTAGAGAATTAACATGGAGGGAAATACAGATATTTACAGCCGTCAAGTAAGGCTAAAGAGAATCCAGCTTGTGGCTCATGGATGCTTTTGGGAGCCTCACCAAGTTCACTAATATATCCTTGCCTGCCCTATACATGGAATAGAGACTACCGAAAAGGTTTATCCCGTCGGGGATTTTGATGCTTCCAATCTCATCTCACTCAGTCATCGATTCATACAGTCCAGTATCCATAGGTATACATCGACTGACATCGAAGACAGTCTAGCAAGTAAATCTTGTCCACTACACTATACGAAGGATGTTACGGAGATCACAATCACGACTGATTCAATACTGTTTGGAAGGCTTGAATTGCGTTCTAGACGTAAAGCTGTTACTCAGGTTGGCTTGCAATGCCAAAGGTCGTGTTGCATAGATTGTGGCTCCATTTAGGCTTGCCACCTTTGATGAACCGCCTTTAGCATCGCTTTTACTATGACTGATAATTGTGAGCTCGGTGGTAAAGGGACTTGAAGGGATAGGCAATGCAAGTTTGGGTCTTCTGGCTCAGATCTCTCATTGAGGGTTAGGCTTCAACTATAACAAAGAACACATTGTCAACACATCATACCATCATATCCCAATAACAACACAGTGACGGAGAAGTACGATTGGTCATGGTGGATCAGCTATTGCGCCTCAGACTCTTGATGGAGTCAAACCCTGTGGCCTCTCTGGAAGGGTATAGTTCTTGCAACACTCCCGCATCCAACAATACAAACGCCCCATGCGAGGCCTGTTCTAGGTAAGTACGCTTTCAAACATCGCAACAGACGTAACTTTTTCTGGAAAGACTAGTAAGCGACGAGAGAAGCTGGTGCAGGACTTGGAAGAGGGGGCAACGGCGTGCCCAAATCCTCACAATGCAAGCGATAGTAGGCAAGGCTGACAAGACAATCAGGTCGACAGTGGTGGAGAGCCGGCTGACATCTTACCTTTGGTCTTCTGGCAGGGATCGTTAAACAATGGATTGAATAGAAGAGTAACTTCATAAAAGGTCAGATTTTGCTTGAGCCTTCCTTTGATGAGGAGCCTAGGGAGATCTTGAAATGCTCAAACCTTGAGCCCCAACTGCAGTTTAAACGTGTCAGTAAGCATGATGCACGCTTTTTAGCCTTCATGATGCTTACTGGCGATCATTTTGGAAATAAATCGAGGAAGGCAAGTCTTTCTGTGAAGGAAGACCCGTGTCAAGTCCCACTTTGGCGTTCTCAGAAGCAAAAGACATGGGCGTAAATGGAGTGGGAGTCAAGACAGCAATTGAACATCCAAGAAAGAGAAGACGGTAAATTTATCACATAGCTATAGCTCAAAAGGCAACAGTTTTGCTTGCTACCTTGGTAGGTAAATTGAGATCATGGTTGGCAGGTGTCTTCTGCGATGTTACGGTAAAAAGGGTGGCTATTGTAGATGTAGGTTCACCTTGCACCACAGACAGGACCCAGGGCTACTATCTCAGCTTGGAATTAAGATAAAAGAGAAAGCAAAACAATAAAACAGATAGCCAAGCAGTTATGAGTTATTTTTATTTTATCTTAAATACTCTTCCGGCGTATCTTTTTTTTGTAATCTTCTGTATGGCGGCGACTTTTTCTGAGTCGCAGAGGGGGTGCACGTGACACCGTTGAGGCTGGTTGCTAGGGTGACACATGAAAATAAATAAACCCCGCTAAGGCATCCTCCTGGTTCTCAACGCCGTCATTTATCAGCCAAATGTGGACGAAAGCCTTATGCCAATAATCAAGTCCTCTCCGCCACTGTGTTGAGAATAATGTACTCGGTCTCTACTCAAATTCATCGCTGGCTGTCATCAACCGCGGACTCGGACCAGCCCCCTCTGCATCCAGCAACACGTAACCTCCACTGTGACCGAGCCGAAGATATCGCATACGAAGCTCGACAGTGCAAGCGACGCAAAATTCATCACTCTACTCTTCCATCTCCGCCATCGTCCCAATTTCTCACCCGAACGGCCATGTCTGCTTCGGCAGGACGAAAGAGAACAAGGGATGACCGCGACGACGACCCGTCCCTGTCTGAGCCGAGCAACCCCGAGTTACTGGACGAAGTGCACAGCGAAGAGACCCCACCTGCAAGCAAGTTTCTGCTGATGCAGCATCGGGAACTCTCTGGCAGAGACAGCCCTTCCCAGCCCTTCCCAGCCCTCAAGCGCCTCCATCCGCTCTGCCTCAATCTCAAGTCACTCAGTCTCGATATCAAACCGATCATCACCTACAAAACAGTTCCATAATGCTGAGATGCAAGAGACGGGCTTCACTGTTGGGAGTTTTCGTCTAGACCCACATCCGGAGTCTTTGTCAACATTTCGCCAGCGGCTAAGAGACATTGGCAATGGCTACGCTATTTTCCCTGCTTCTCTTTAGCATGAGGTATGCTTCATCTAATTTTACTCTCTATTGAGTCACTATTTGAAGTTTTAACGTGTATCGTGGGAGATGTAGTTGTCGGACTTGGAAATACCGCCCTATTCGTTCAAGACGGATGACTCGACACTAATCGATGATCACATACCTTCAGTGTCATGGGTTCAGAAGCTAATGAAACGCGCAACCGAGTGACGTTGATAGAGAATGCGAGGCGTCATGGAACGCAGATGTCCATGCGCCTATCCTTGAACATGTCTTTCGACCTGATCGGTTTGGGAGCAGTGATCTAACCGATTTTCGCTGTTGTCCCACGGCTCAGATTCTTCCAGCTTTCAAGCCTCGAGATGCTCCATCCAAGATGGTGGATTTCTGTATCTTCATGCGGCCTCCAGCTAATAGCCCTGAGGAAGAATCCATCACTGCCATCTGCAAGTCACGACCAGGCTTGTCGATCAATTATACAGACCTGGGCAATTTCTGCAAGCATCCTATTGCTCTGTCGATCGAGACTAAGCGTCCAGGGGAACACGGAGACAAGGCAACCTTGCAGATGGGGACCTGGCACTCATCCCAATGGCGGAGTTTACGATATCCTCTCTTCCGGCCTCGAGCTGCTGGATCTATTAAGTTCCTCCCTGGTATCATTATCCAGGGACATGATTGGCAGTTTGTCTCGACAATCTTGGATGGAAATAACAAGGCATTGCTTTTGACCGGAGTCAAAATAGGAGGCACAGACTCGGAGATGTCAGTCTACTCGCTGGTTGCTGCGTTGCAGTACTTACGGCAATGGATCAAAGACGTCTACTGGCCTGCATTTGTAGCAGATGTACTCCAAGTATAATGATGAGTAATGACACCCTATGTATGCAATTTCTTCCGTTTCTGGATGGAATCGCCAAGCGGTGTCCATACATTAGCGCCTGGTTGGCCCTCGTCGTGATGTTCTTTACAGATCTGTTCCAACTTGAAATGTGCGACAAACCCTTTGTTGCGTATGCCATTTCCCCTTCAGTACATCTGGAGTGCCAGCCTTCAAGGACTGTGGCTTTGAAATGAGCCTGTTGCCAATGGCTTTGATACATGAGCACTGAGACACGTTGCTATGACCCAGCTCCAGATACGATTTGAACATCAAAGTTCAAAGCCAACGAGCATATCACAAGTGCATTCTTCACAGGGCTCGAGTCAGTAAGCGATTGTCGTGAATACGATCAAGACTGGTTGAAGACAGCCCGCGGTGAAGTGCAGGGCCTCGAGACTCTTAGCTACCAAGATAGGCACAGCACCGTCCATACATACCTTGACTCAAAAGGAAAAGAACTTGGTCTGAGAAATTACACGCAAGCATCTCTCCGTAAAGGGTGAGACAACAAGAAGTGCCGGCGTCATTTCCGAGCAAAACATAACCTTTGGAAAATGGTTGGTGCCACGATGCCCATTATTCATTCGCGGATGATTACATGCCGACTCACCTCCCATGTCCCGAATGCTGCAACTCCTCTCGATTATGCATTTCGCTGTATGGATCGCTGTCTTGATGGCTACGTTGCTGATGTGGCAGGCAAGGGCAACGCGAAGATATGTGAGATTTTGTTCTCCAGCTATGAGACTCTGGCAGACTTCCTATGGCATATAACAGAGACCCTAGAGTTCAGGAGTACAAAGAGTCACCAAAGGTTGGGGAACTTGTGGATGTCATGCCAGAGCGGCGTGACGCGGCCAGCCAAGCCGACGTCAAACGCCAACTGGGTTTAAGCCCTGGTCCACTACTGGATAGATCCCTCCTTCAAGTAGACTGGCCTGATTACAAAATCTGCTTCGAGTTCATCGATGAGGCTAGCGGTGCTCGATGGTCCCCCACACCAACTCGTCGTTTTTCGCCCACGACAGGTGCGTTTATGCGGGATTGGGGCCTAGGAGTCCCTTACAGCATAGCTTTTTCGATCCCTAAGAGTATATCAAGAACGAGCAGGCCACCGCTAGTACATTGTCTAGTGAGCTTCCGGGAGTCGGGGACTCTACATCAGCACCTCTCTTCTCCTTGAAGGCCATAACTCTAGGCGTAAAAAGCGAAGGAATATCATAAAACATCCGCCTCGTTCCATAAACTGCGGCATTGGTGACCGTGAGCATTGTAGCAAGATCCTGCTGGGATGGTGCACGATGATGGTGTTCGCTTCCCGTTGGATGCCTCGGGTGTCGAGTATCCCCTTGGCATTTATGACTATATTACTCAGGCTACCGCCAGTATATGAACTTGGTCATGACATTTACTATTTGAGAGTTCTAGTGTCCCTGTTCGAACCATCCAGCAACTCATCCACGTTCAGTTCAGGCTCGTCCTGACAGCATCGTCTTCTTCTCCATGGCTTCAAATATGATCGCGTTTCAAGAGATCTTCCCTGTAGGCTCCGACGTGAATGTGCTTCATCGGAACACGTACGCACCGCCACTTGGCGTTTCCTGCCTACGTTAATCCGACTTGGCTTTACTGGCACTTATTTGAGGTACCTGCAGACAGGCGAGACAGTAATCAGGCCGGACTAGTTTGACAGCCCGTTCCATATTTGGGAAAAATGGGGAGAAACAAAACGCAGTCAGAGTTGCCGTAATCCTACCAAACTCAACATTACCAATTGCCTGTCCTCCAGATCGGCAGATGACTGACCATGGATGTTCCCAATGATGAGATGACCCATATATTGAATGGCATTCTTGTTGATTTTGGCAGATGTAATTTCATCTTTATTATTATCTGCAATGATGACGAAGGCATCAACCACAACAACAAAAAAAACGCAGTCATTAATGCATGACAGTATCAACCCCCAAAACCGTATCTGATTTCTTCTCCTTGCCAACAAGTTTGACTTCTGTGAACTAGAAATGCCCGTTCTGCGAACCGGACACGAGAATCAGCAGTTGCCGCCAGGTATACTCACGGAGAGACTCCAGAGTTAGCTCCTTATCAAGAGCTGGTCGAGGAAGTCGCACTGCTAATCAAAGGAGAATGAGGTACCCGACCCGGTTCTTTACAGGATGTCTTGTCGATAGGACCACGATCGATCTTCGGGCTCAGTTAACCCATCGAGGGCCGGGCTACAACTATAATAAAGAACAGATCTTCAACACATCATAGCATCATGACCCAATGCTAACACAGTGGCCTTTTTTAAAACTTCTGCAACAGCAGAAGAGTCACATCTAACCACATCGTCGATAGGACCACAGACATTGGCGCACAGCCTGGATGTGTTGTCTGCTGTGACGGAGATCTCTTTTCCGACATTTGCGTGGCAGACTTTTAGTGTTTTAGTCTGGTACCGAAGCGGCGGCGGCGGAATCGAAGCAATTCATAGCTTGTGGTACGTGTATGCTTGGACCTACGCAACAATTTCATCATGGGGTGGCTCGGTTCTAAATGCTCGACGTTGAAAGGGATGGTTGGAAGCAAAAGTAGGGGTGTGCATGGCAGATGACCTGTAACTAACACGCGGTCGAGATATGGGACTTTGCGTGTATTGGATAATGTGTATAGATTCACCGAAGATAATTTACAAGTAGGAAAACCAGGGGCAAACGTATCGTGCAATTAAATGTGTGAGTCATCAGAGAGTGAAAGTGTATGGGAGCTGCTTTAATTCATAGTAACAGCTGAGGGACCTCTTACCTTAATGAACTATCAGTCCTCATAGTTCTTCTTCTCGTCAAAAATATAGCCTCTGAAGGAAGCCATTACACACGATAACTAAAAACATAGTCATCCATCCAGTATAACACTCAAGCTTAGCAGCGTGAAATGTCGTAACCTGATAATCCCCTTTCCATTCCTACTGTCAGAGAAATTTGAATGCGGAAATATGAACTAGGCCCCCATCAAAGTATCTGCTTCACTTCGCAGCGCACAAAGCGCAGGAATTCGAGGTTAAGAGTGTCATTTTTCAATTTGGTCGGCCGTGAGTACTCAATCCATCATCCTCCTGTCACGTCACAAGTTCTACCTAGGGTCTGCGAATCTAGAAGAGCCTGCAGTCAGACAGTATCAGCCTGCTCCTAGGCCTTTCAGTTGCAGGGGACTTGGAGGAAGATTTCATCAAAGGTTTCAGTCAGCTAAAAGAAGTTGCCCCAGATACTTCATGCAGATCTCGTGTAATTCCCCTACGGTGCTTTGTTTTTCTAGTTCGATTTGCCCATAACAATGCCCGGTTTCGCAAGGCTGTGACTGGCTGCATTGAACGCGTCTGTGTTTGCCAAGACGTCAGCACAACGCGCCGCGGGTAAGCCACCATGAATCAGACCCCTGTCTTTAAACCTCCCTTGCGGTTTTGTCTCCAAGCAAGACGCGTGAGTCAAGATCCCTGCAGTTTTCCCTGGCTCATCGCTGCAACAGCGAGACCAAAGTCTTTGGCCGTCAACCACACTTTGAAGCCGCCAGCGGACCCTTTGTACGTCACTGCAGATATGGGCGGAAGCAATTTATGCTGCCCGTGTCCGTGCCCTGAAACTGCTAAGGAATAAACAAACATTATGCCCGAGATGAGGAAGCCTACTGACGTTATTCGCCCTCACACGTCAAGAGGTACCCTCGACGAGCACGTCGTGATCACAATAAGTGCCAGCGGTGGTCTTAGGCGTGGAGAAAGCCTAGCATGTCCCAAAGATGGTGCCAAGATTTAGAGCAGGCTGCCTCGACGGTGCACACCACGACGGACCAGTACGTGTTGGGGCCCAAGCCAAGGCATACCTCTGCAACGTGGTCAATCCTGAGCAGTCAAGAAAGACACGGGAACGGATACGAGCGGATCTTGGCGAGATTGATGTTCTCGTCAATAATGCCAGAGGGCAACGGATATAACCCGAGTTGACAGTCTGGCACCACAGAACCTCAACCATCTAGTTCACATGGAGACGTTTGGCCAGTTCTGAGACATGGTTGGCCCAGACCTCGAGGCCGTGAGAAATAAAAAACCAGGACTCTTGAAAGAAATACGGATCAAGAGTATCCGCTGCAACCTATGCTTTGGACCCATGTGCGACTGCCCGCTACGGGATCATCATCAACCTCGATTGGTGATCCGCCACTGTTACTATACCTACCCTTCGACGTTAACTATGCCGCCTCAAAGGCCACACTTGTACGCGCAAACGGGTGTATTCAACGTGAACTTGATATGGACAGTTTTAATACCTTGCGGTTTCCTCTCTCCGGGGTGAGGAATCGTCTTCAAAGGAAGCTACCTTGACTGGTACAGGACATTGGTTAAGTTGTGAGCATGAATAATCATGTGTGTGAGCACGGGTTATATGACTTCAGAGTAGACTTCCTCAAGGGTTTGCCAAATGATGGAGGCACGATGCCAGATGCGGGACTACAGGAGTGATGACGCGAGTAGGCGCACTGTCCGCTCAAATTAGATAGCAAAGCATATCCTGCCAAGCTGCAAAGGTTGCAAGTATCCATCATGGTATCGCATTATCAAAAGACGATGGTCGATCACTTTAAATTGTTTAATCTTTCTTCCTTAGGCTCAGCTCTATGGTGGGCAATGTGAGAACCCAATACTGCATCCAGATGAAAATACGGTTTCCCCGGCTCCCCAGCACAAAGGACAAGCGGTGATTCTGTGTAAGGCACGGTTGATGAATGTTGCAATTATCACTGTACAGCCGCGACCTCTGCTATTCAACATGACCCATTTTGTGCACTGCCTCAGCTTGACTGGAATACAGCTGCGATACCATCGGTTTTGGCACACCAGTGGCAATGATACGAGGACCATAATTGCCGTTTGCCAATTGCTTGGCGAAAGGCTCACTCAAGATCATCGCGTCTTACTGAGACAGCAATACGACCGACCATAAGAGGAGCCAGGGTCAGTGCTGTTGAAGACTTTCTTCTTGTGCCATATTGATACGGTGATACGACCAGGTTTCATGCCTGCGGTCTACTACGTATTGTCTCGGCTGAGCGGAGTGGAATCAGGTCAGTCAGCTCAACACAAGGTCGTGATGGACCGAATGACGACATGACGACAATGGATCCCTGTCGAGAACTGCTCTAGCCATTGATGAAGAGGCTGCTGAGTCACATTCTGATCTTACGGACTCCAGCCAGCTGCATAGCCACCATCCAACTGACATGAGCCTTGGAGATGAGTCATAGTTTTCAACACAGTCAGACGACCCGCTTGTGCTCTGTAAGGTTGTGTTTATCTATGTGGAGGCACCTCTGCGAAAGCCAAAGACCTGAGCCTGCCTTTACCACAAACAACGATAATGGCAGTAATCAGTCTCCTCCAATTTCCAACCGAACTCACCGAGCAGATCTGTAGCTGGATCGATCCAGGCGATCTCCTGCGTGTGCGTCAAACATGCCGTGAGCTCAACGAAAGATCCTTTCCTCTCTTCACGCAACGATTCTTCGACTCTCGCTGCGTAATGATCCTCCCAGAAAGCCTGAAAAACCTGCACCAGATATCAAAACATCCCATGCTCAGCAAAGCCGTCCGTACACTAGAAATCTCAACATTGTACTTCGTGCCCCCTGATGAGCTCCAACCACTCCTGGGATCCGAGCAAGACGGAGACAGCTGGTACCGTACACCGGCTGTTATGGCCTATCAAGCCTACCACTCAGCTCAGCAAAAACTCCTAAAAGGCGACACAGATATCCCACTACTGGCAGATACCTTGAAAGGCTTCACAAACTGCACCAGCATCGGCACAGTTGACCTGCACACTCGTCTGCCCTGGGGCTTCAAGGCCGTCACACGACGCCTCGAAATCTGCTTTCCATCAAGAGCACGTTGGCGAGACAATGAACTAGAGCTGGAGAACTTCATCGACTCTCAAAATGTCGCGCAGACGAGCCAGGAGAGCGGCCCCGGGGTGCTCGACCTTATCCTCAACGTCGTTATGGGGCTAGCCAAGGATTGCCACGTTCCGGTCCGACGTCTAAACATCTTCTCCCAAGGTGACCCGGATAGGCCCTGTCACGGTATCACTGAATATCACTCATCAGTGCTGTCCAACGTCAACCAGCTCGATTTCTTACTTGTGTCGCCTGATTGCACGTGCTGGGCACACGATGGGGGCAAGGGATGGAAGGATAGCGTGAAGCTCATAGCTGCGTGTCCCAGCCTTACGCACCTAAAGGTCTTCATGAGGCACACGCTCCGATTCGCAAGCCTTTCATACATTCGCGCCCCAAAACTCACGACATTGGAGCTACATTGTATGGAGTGTAGGGATGCAGACATAATCGACTTCTTCCGCAATCACCGAGAAACGCTTCGGTGCGTCAAAATGACCTATTGTATGCTTCAAGCGTCCAATCTCAGGGTGAGATGGTGTTTGGACGGCGCTGATCCAAACTTTGAAGCTTGGGGTAACGTACTGAGTGTTTTGCGAGACGAGACGAACGCTGAAGAATTGCATCTGGAAAGGATTCATTCTCCATATGGGGGCCACGGTCCATTCAGGGCGGACAGTAAAGAAGGCATTACTCGCGTTATTGGCGAAATGGCTGAAAGTTTAGCTTTAAAGTTACAGGCATGGCCACGGAGTACAGAGGAGTAAATAACTAGCATAGTGCATAGAACCTTGTGTCTGCTCTCTGTGCTCACCTCACGCGTAGCAAGCTCTCTTGTGTTTCATGATTGGTCGTCAAATGCTTGATGAGTTGTTGGACCTCAAACTACCACGTAGACTTTACGGCCATATGCCTTTGGTGTGAAAGCCAGTGCATACTAGCTCAAGGATGATTTCATCATTCTCATCATTTTCATCATGGTCCTCGTTATTATGATCGTCATCATCTTCACCAACGCCTTTGTATCTTTGCGGCCCTCTAGGCACTGTAATACGTAAGTCTTGCCTTCTTCGGTCGCTTCAGTTGTACGTAAGAGAAGATGGGGTTTGTCTGGCAAAATACCCAAGAGTGCAAGCGGCGGCATCTCCCCAGATGTGGCGTTTGACTGCTTGTCAAAGATCTTGAAGGCGCGGGAAGGGTCATTCATGAAACCGCAGCATTATTGGCCCAGCTAAACGGCGAAGGGATCGCCAAACAACGAGGCTTATTCGGTGCAGATTCAAGCCAAGCTCAGGGCGATTCCCGATCTTAGCTTTATTCCTTTATCGCCATCAATGGCCTCTCTCAAGGAGGCAATTATTCACAGAAGTAAAAGACATCTTTTGGACATGACCTAAAAAGAGGCATGCCCTAGGCCCTGGTGGGAGTTTGTCTCAGCGTCGAACTCGAGAGTATGCCGTTATCTGAACTACACAAGTATTCAATAACAGAGAGGGGATATACGAATTGCAGGGCAAACTCCGTCAACCAAGTCTTACTACACCATTATACATGAGTGCTCGTGGGAACACGATGGACGAACCCAATTCTTGAGACTCCCCAAACTACTTGAAAGTAATTAGAACTTGTTTTGGTATCTCGTTTTTTTTACTATATGAAGTCAGAGGGTGAACGATCACCTAGCCATTTTCTGGTGAATGTCCATTGCAGGTTGTGCATGATTCATGACCTGCTGGTCATAATGCTGGGGTCGATGACGAGCAGAGGTTCAAGGAGGAGGCATCCATGCGCTATGGTTCTTGTTCCGTCAAGAACCGGTTGCTTCCAGAGCCATGAATAACAGCATGCTTCTCGCATCTATGGCACAAGCCCAATGCTGACACGGCTCAAGAGGAAATCCATTGTCAACAGTCGAATCCTAGGGCTGTTGGTGATTTCAAAATTTCGACACACATTTCTCGTCAAGGAGAGGGGTGCAAAGGAGATATCGAGGTAAAGCCTTTGTGGTTTTTAGTCAGTTCAGCAACGTGGGTAGCAAATTGCGTTTTGGACTCATCAGCTTCCCAATTATATTAAGAGCTGCTGCATCTGCCTATTGACGTAAGCAACATGTTGAATCGTCCGTCGTTGCTTCGATTTCACGCTTTTAGTCGGTTGAATGTTCCATTACTTTCTTCAACCACCATGTCTCCAATGCTTAGACCCCAGCCAACCTAATATTTCAAGTCATGGTCAACGCACTGACAGCGGCAGCCACCACTTGTTAATATCACCTGCCCCTCCGAATTAATACTTACCATGCTTCCAAATTCTCTTTCATACGACTGGGCTTATGCAAAACCTAGAAACTGCCATTGGCAGAGGGGCTGAGAGCGCATCTTAATTGCCACCACAATGTTCATATGACTACCCTACACGTCTCATGCTCCTAAACGGAGCCAAAGATCGATTAGTGAGCCAGTCATACACCAGCGGCAATAACAGTCAGAAACTTATTCACGTTATCAACGAATGTGTAACATGCATCCGTAATAACCCCAGGTCTCGGTTTCAACGGCCCCTGATCCCCCCCCTCTTTGCCACGCGACAGCATCAAGATGGGTGTCGTCAGCATCCATCGACCTTCCTAAAGTGGCAATTCAGGAGCCAATAACGGAAACTCAATACTCTATCCTTGCACTCTGGAACCTTGGCGGGCGAATAGCGTAGCGCCAAGGTTGTCAAAATCTTGGCTTGCCGATTGACTTGGGTTGAGTGGATCAGATAATCACGCAGCTGAGCGCCGAGAGGTCCGTCCTACGACCAGAAATGGACTAGTAAAGACGTGATCGAGGGGTGCTTTGACGCAGGGGGTCTCGCGTACTGACCACTAGTTCACGGGTGAATGGCCCGAACTGGCTGATGCCCCTATCAGCAGAGCCTGTGACACGCTAGAAAAGAGCCGCGGCTGTCCCGCCCCCCTTCATTTTCATTTTATCTCGAGGGAATTCCCGCTGTCAGGCAAAAGGACCGACGATCGTTTCTCCCTTGACAATGCGGCTCATGGTACCAAAACTCTTCGACTAACGGTTTTTCAAGCTCCTCGAGTCTAAGGCTTTGGCGTCTTGGCAGCCACTCTTTCAAAACACTGTTTACGATTCCTTCTTTTGTTTATTCAAGCCACGGGCGAAGAACCTTTGGTTCCAGATGTCACATGACAAATCGCCAAAGACCACCGACATCACGGTCGAGGTGGCCCTCACACGCGATGTCGAGATTATCGAGATGAGGAACATGGCGTCACCGCCGGCACGGGCCAACGAGAATAATATGACGTGGGCCATTTCTGCGCCAAAGTCGGACGAGCCCAAGGAACAGGGCGAATGGTACGATGGATTCCGACGCGCCGACCGCCGAAAGATGAAGAGGCAGTGGGATCAAGGATATCGACCTGAGCAGAAACCAACAATTCCGGGAGACCGACACTATGATATCCGAGCTGCAAATGCAAGGACGGCGACATCAGCGTTGGCGAGGGAGTTGAAGGGGCGACATTTGCAGATGATTGCGTTTGGAGGCACCATTGGTGAGACACTTTTCCTTTGGGAACGACTTGCGTTTCCCAATTAACTACCGTCCTATCGATCAAGATGTTGCTAACATGCTTGTTGAAAGGAACCGGTCTCTTCGTCACTTCTGGCAGCGCTATTCACGCGGGTGGCCCTGGTAGCGTGCTTCTGTCCTACATCGTCATCGGAATGCTGCAGTACTGCACAATGCAGTCTTTGGCCGAACTGAGTGTCATCTTTCCCATTGCGGGCTCATTCTCTGCCTTTTCAACAAGATTCTTGGATCCTTCTTGGGGATTTGCCATGGGATGGAAGTGAGTCTACACCCTCGAGTGTTGGAGGAAAACGTCTTCAACGTAGCAGCTTCGATACTCTGAGTACTAACTGAACCAGCTACTGCCTTCAATGGCTCTTCACACTCCCTCTCGAGATTATCGCTGGCGCTTTTACCATTGGCTACTGGAACGAGCACCTTAGCCAATCAATTTTTGTCGGAATATTCCTGGTTGCCATTATCGTGATCAATCTCTTTGGCGTCAAAGCCTATGGCGAGGCGGAATTCATCTTTTCAATCATCAAAATCACTGCCATTGTCGGTTTCATGTAAGTCTTTCTTCTTGTTTCGAGACCGAGACGCATGCCAGAGAACATCAACAACTAACCCACATTTAGTCTCCTTGCCATTGTCATCAACATTGGCGGAGAGCCAGCAAGCGGTTATATCGGCGGCCGCTATTGGATGGACCCGGGACTCTTCAACAACGGGTTCAAAGGCTTCTGTTCAGTCCTTGTCACATCATGCTTCTCCTTCACCGGCACCGAATTGATCGGATTAGCAGCAGCAGAAACCGTCAACCCTCGAAAGTCAATCCCGAGCGCTATCAAACAGGTTTTCTGGCGCATCACCATCTTCTATATCGTCTCGCTGCTGCTCGTCAGTCTGCTCGTGGCATATGATGATCCTCGAATCACTAGCGGAATCAGCATCGCGGATGCATCTGCGAGTCCATTCGTGGTGGCGATTGAGACTGCCGGAACCACCGTCTTGCCTAGCGTTATGAACGCAGTTATCTTGATAGCCGTGATAAGCGTGGGCAACTCAGCTGTCTTTGGTTCATCTCGAACACTGGCTGCTCTCGCCGATCAGTCGCATGCCCCAGCCATCTTTGCCTATGTGGACAAGCAAGGTCGCCCATTAGTGGCCATCATTTTCTCTTGCGCCGTTGGGTTACTGGCTTTCCTAGCTGAAGTCAAGGCTCATGGTGTTGTGTTTGACTGGCTGCTGTCTGTCAGTTCCCTTGCAACGCTCTTCACATGGGGAAGCATTTGTCTCACGCATATTCGCTTCCGTACTGCTTGGGCACATGCCTCACACACTTTGGAACAGTTGCCGTTCAGGGCACGATCCGGCACAAACGGTGCATGGTTCGCCTTGGCTGGTTATGCTCTTATCCTTATTTCGCAAGTGTGGATCGCTTTCTCCCCCATAGATGCTGATAAGAACTCGACCACGGCAGACGTTGTGCAAAATGTTTTTCTTCAGGCCATGGCAATTCCGATTGTTGTAGTCTTTTATCTCGGCCACAAGATCTGGTACCGTACGGGCTTTGTGTCTCTGGATGAGATAGACATAACGACAGGGCGGAGATACTATCGTGTTCATCTTATGAGCGACCAAGAACGGGAGGCTCGGATGGCATGGCCGTTGTGGAAGAAGGTCTACTGGTATTTCTGTTGAAAGGGACCCTGGCTTCTTTACTCTTATCTTAATGAACCGAACCTTCCTCATGCTTCTATCTCCATCGAGAGCGATTATCTTGGCTACTTGTGACTGGTTCAAGATCCGTCGCGAGCGGTTTTCCTGGGAGGCCATTGAAAGAACTGGTGTTGAAGCAATCGCCAGCTCGTTAACCGAGTAGTCATCATGCTGAGTCTGTTTCTGCTCTACTGCGTTACCAGTGAAGCTCCCAGCACATTGACGTTTCCGAGTGTGACTGCTGTTCCAACATACATCTATCTTCTCGACATTGGTAATCATGGATCCGGGATGTATTCCTAATTAAAAGTGTCACGGAGCCTAACCTAGTAAACATCTGCCAGTGCGAAAGTAAGACGTCGGTCCAATGTGTGGTTGATTCTTAACCCACCATCATTCCTCAAGTATTACCTCTTCTTCATCATACTCTTCATCCCCGACCTCGGCCTCCTGATACTGCTGATATTCCGAAATCAAGTCATTCATGTTAGATTCAGCCTCAGTGAATTCCATCTCGTCCATTCCCTCCCCTGTATACCAATGAAGGAACGCCTTTCTCCTGAACATGAGTGCAAACTGACTCCCGATGCGCTTGAAAAGCTCCTGTATAGCCGTCGAGTTGCCGACAAAGGTCGAAGAGAGATTTAACCCGGACGGCGGAACAGAACAAAGGGCTGTTTGGATGTTATTGGGAATCCACTCAACGAAATACGAGGAATTTCTGTTTTGGATCTGTCCAATTTGATCTTCGACTTCCTTCATGCCAACCTTTCCTCGGCTTATGACTCCATTAGTATAATTAAGGGTTTAAGGCGTGCTTACTTACAAGATAGCCGAGCAAGTTAGGAAGCGGCCGTTCCGATAGTCGGACGCAGACATGGCGTTCTTCGGGTCAAAGAGCTGTTGCGTGAGCTCTGGGATTGTGATGGCCCTGAATGACCGGCTGCTAAGACTCGTGAGGGGAGCAAATCCCACTGTGAAGAAGTGGAGGCGAGGAAAAGGGACCATGTTCACGGCCAGCTTCCGCAAATCCGAGTTCAACTGGCCCGGGAACCGAAGGCAGGTCGTGAGGCCCGACATGACTGCCGAGATCAAGTGGTTCAGGTCCCCATAGCTCGGATCACTGAGCTTAAGCGTCCTCTTACAGATGTCGTAAAGAGCCTCATTATCAATGCAAAATGTCTCATCCGAGTGCTCAACGAGCTGATGGAGAGACAAGGTAGCGTTATACGGTTCCACAACCACCTCGGAGACCCGCGGCGAGGGCAAGATTGAAAAGGTTGCCATCATCCTATCTGGAAATTCTTCGCGCACTTTGGATATCAAGAGAGTGCCCATCCCGGCCCCCGTACCGCCGCCGAGGGAGTGCGTGATCTGAAATCCCTGCAGACAGTCGCAAGCTTCAGTCTCACGGCGGACAACCTCAAGGACTTGGTCAATGAGCTCGGCCCCTTCAGTATAGTGGCCCTTGGCCCAATTGTTTCCGGCGCCGGACTGGCCAAAGATGAAGTTATCAGGACGGAAGAGCTTGCCGTTGGGGCCGGCACGGATCGCGTCCATGGTACCGGGTTCTAGGTCGACGAGGACTGCGCGAGGGACATATTTACGACCGGCCGCCTAGGAGAGAGGAGGTGTTAGGGGAGAACAGGCTGTGATGAGATGACTTACCTCGCTAAAGTAGACTGGCAAACGTTCGGACTGGACGTCAGCCGTTCCACGAAACCTTCCAGAGTCAGCAACATAGGAGAGCCCTCTTGCGGGGTTCACTTACACGCCGTCGCTGTCAAGACCGTGTTCACTATGGAGGGTCTGCCTGTATCGAGTTAGCTTGGCCATGTAGCTTGGATAAGTCAGAAGAGCAATACCAAAAGGCAGACCCGACTTGGTTGCCCTAAAAACAGTTAGCAAGTGGTAGTGTAGTTGCCGTGTTAATGGAACCCACGCATTGGCCCGTTTGGAGATGAATCTTGGATTGTTAGCACAATGATCATGGCAGCTAGAAGGCTGAGAAACTCACAATCTCACGCATTTTTGTTATCACTGCTCAGAATGTATGACGTACTGGTAAAGGGCACAAGATACATTGGAAGAGTAGGCTAGACTGTAGCTTTTATTGTAGACAAGTCTTGATCACCGCCGGACATGGCGGATTAACTATCGGCCCACTTTTCAAATCTCCGCCGACGACGGCGGAAGACTCAATATGACCATCACCGACTCTTCTCTCCCCTTTCTCTCAGGCACAACATCATCCGCCGCGATCGGGAATCATCGGAGACAGACTTGATCTTACCCCCCTGAGCGTCCCTTTCCAGTCACTGCCGTCATGCCTGCTACTGCGGGCAAGAGCCACACCCCCCCTCCGACCTATGCACCACCACCCAAGCGTCGGAACATCCGAAAAGGCACCCGCAGCTGCTGGGAGTGCAAGCGACGCAAAGCCCGCTGCACGTTTGAGAATGCATGTGACACAGTATGCATTGGCTGCAGCCGCCGGGGCTCGGCTTGCGTGAGCCAGGAGTATCCCGAGGAGACATCGCAGGCCCGTCAGTCCAGCGAACGGAGGCGGGAACACTTTGCAAGAATAGGAAGAATGGTGGTACAGATAGTGAAAGAAGAGGCCATGGCTGAGCCTAGTCCTGATTTGGTGGATGATTGGAAGCCAGAGAATGAAGTCGAGGCCGGGGTTGAAAGGCTTGATGGAGAACTTGGGACCCCCGGTGGAGTTGAGTATACCGCCGCACATATTACTGCCCAGGTACGCCAATACCTAATATCTAATATCTTATCGAAGGAAGCTAACTTGCAGAGAATAGTCCTTGCAGAAAAGTATCAGTACGCTGCCACCACATGCCGGTCTCGATGTTCCGACTACCGAACTCATCAAAGACTCTGAGCAACTGGTCAAAGTCACCTCTTTCGGATCTCTTCCAACACCCAGAGACGTTGCCGGCGTCAGAAAGTCCATGAATCGCACATCTGGATACTTTATGAATATCATGATCTTGCCTTATAGCCAGCTCCAGCTCTACGACCTCCGCGTGGAAGTCCCAGACCTTCATGCCCCAGAAGTACACCCAATCCTCAAGGCCAAAAGAATGTTGACATTGGCAACTAATATTCAGAGTCTTCAACTAAAGTCTCAAAGAGTATCGTGTCAACTGTCAGCACCGCCAGCAACACTTGTTCAACAATTGATCAAAGCGGCTGCATGTGTTGGGACCAGGACATGTCCCGCCGTCTTTGTCGAAGAGCTTGAATGTCTCATGCTTGAAGCTGTACTGCTCGCCAATGGTGGTCATCTGCAGCGCTCTTGGCTTGTCCTTCGCAGACTGGTAGCTGACGCACAGCTGATGGGCATTCATCGACGCCAACATTCGGCAAAAGGTCTCGATCCCAACAACAATCTTGACACTAGATTCTTTTGGTTCCGAATCCTGTACACAGAAAGGCTCCTATGTTTGCTGCTTGGTCTTCCACAGGCTAGCACAGACTGCACAATGGGCGACGAGGCAGCGTTGCTCATGGAAGAGCATCCTGTTGGCCGCCTTGAGCGCATGCATTGCGTCATTGCCTCAAAGCTGCTCCAACGGAATGACATGGAGACAAACTATGATCAAGAGACAAGAAACATTGACATACAAATACAACGAGCAGCGCAGTCGATGCCACCGCGATGGTGGTTGATGCCGAACTTGGCTGGAATCTCGGACGATGTTCAGGGCTTTGCAGAGACGATGAGGCTGACGAACCAGCTATTTCACCACTTCCTGATAATCCAGCTTCACCTGCCATACATGGTTCGTCCGACCGTCAGCTCTAAGCAGAGGGATAGCATGACCACCTGCGTGAACTCTAGTCGCGAGGTGATGGTGCGGTTCATTAGCTTTCGCAGCATTCAAAGCGTGGCATTTTACTGCCGAGCCATTGACTTTTTTGCCCTCCTAGCATCGGTGACCCTTCTGCTAGCGCATATCGACAGTCACCAGAACAATGAAGGAGAGAGCCTCACTCATCAGCGGCCGAGTGACCGAGCTATTATCGAGCAGGCGATGGAATATATGGACGACTTCAATAAAACCTCTCAGGATATTCTCTCCAAGAGAAGCGCCGACGTGATTCGGAATTTATTGGAGGTCGAGAACCAAGCATTCAGCAAGCATGTGTCTATAGGTGAAGCCCAGAGAGACACCAACAGCGGACACTCAAGGGACGGGCATAAGTTGCAACTCAACATTCCAAACATTGGGACGGTGCACATTTCGTGTGACGCTATTGCAAGAGACGACGGGCCATTAAAAAAATCCAGTGATGACACATTGAGGGCATCATCGAAGGAGGATGGCACCGACCTGATGATGCTGAGCGAATTCACTGGCCATGAAAGGTCGATAGCCGAGGTTGCCGGAGCACACGAGGTAAAGAGCCAATATGAAGCTGCAGATCCGATCAACAGCTTTGTAGAACCGTTCCACCCGATTTGCGAGGAGAGTATGGAATTGTGGCTACATGGACCAGATAATCTCTTCCAAGGCATTGACCTGGCTCATTTTGATCTAGCTTAACACTTAGCTCTTCAGATCATAAAATGAATGGCTATAATTAGGGATCATAGCCTTGACGATTAACCAGCCTGTAAAACTCGTACCGTAAACGCATATTGGACTGAAGAGACGCGCAATGCAGGTGGTCCGAACAGTCTGCTTGCGCGTCTTTCAGCACTCTTTGTGCCAATAGCGTGCAAAGAACAGATAAGGTCCCGGGAGTTCCGGACTGATTATTCTTGGAATTCTTTCTCTGAGCTGTTGGATCAACAATAGGATCATACTCGGTCTCGGTCTCGGTCTCGCGCCCCTCCCACCCTAAAACACTCCAACTAAATGATGCTGACGAGTAGGGAAGTCAAAAAGAAGCTTATTTTTTGACTTGTCAAGTCAAGATGGACTAAAAGTAACATGTGTCTTTACAGGAGTTCTTCCATACTAATCAACCCTCCTCTACTGCGGTTCAACACATGCGTCTAGTTCTCACACGCACAAACCCCAATTGATCTTCATCTTTACCATGTCTGGACGCTCGGATTCATACGGGAATCCGTACGAGCAGCAATACGCCGACTATCACGCTCGACAAGAAGGTTCTGCCTATTTCGACCAAGACGACTCTTATGCGCGAGAGGAATATTATCATCACGATTCCACATCTGGTTATGATTCCCAGTAAGTGCGATCTTGCTTTGAGAGTGACGGTAGAGCTGATATGAGCACGTAGTCACGGTTTTGAAACCGACGAGAATAATTCGTACCGTGATGCGTCCGCTCGCTATGGCGACTATGATTCGGGTTCTTACTACTGGCAAGACGGGCAAGCCCAATACCATGCTGATGATGATAACAACGGGTGGAACGATGGCTACGGATCAAGAGACCATGGCGGCCAATACTCAGCAACATCATCCGAAGTCTTCTTTGGCGCTGATGACTCGGCCGCATACGATCGAGAAGATATCGACTACCCGTCCGCGGTGCACCCATCTCCAGACCCGTATCCTGCTTGGGCTTCTGACGCTCGACGGCCACTGGCTACCGAAGAAATTGAAGAAATCTTTCTCCAATTGACCGACACGCTTGGCTTCCAACGGGAGAGCATGCGGAACATGTTCGATCACCTTATGACATTGCTCGATTCCAGAGCCTCACGGATGCCGGCGGAAAAGGCACTTGTTTCCCTGCATGCAGACTACATTGGTGGTCGCAACGCCAACTATCGAACATGGTATTTTGCCGCCTATTTTGATCTCGACGCCCAAGACGGAAGCCCTAGCAACACCACACACGCCGATGGACAGACCGACAGCGCAGGAGAATCAAACTCAGCAGAAGCAACAGGAGGAGATGAGTTCCAGCTCGCCGAAGAGCGTTGGCAAAGACGGATGCAGAACATGCCACCTCAGGAACGCGTCCGTCAGCTTGCCCTCTATCTTTTGTGTTGGGGAGAAGCAAATCAGGTTCGGTTCATGCCGGAATGCCTGTGTTTCATCTTCAAATGCGCCGAGGATTTCCTTGCCGCACAGTCAAGCAACGATACTCACACCGAAGAGCTGTCCTTTCTCGATCACGTCGTCACTCCCATCTACCGGTTCCTTCGAGATCAAGGATACGAAATCCGCGATGGAGTCTACGTCCGCCGGGAGCGAGACCATGACAAGGTCGTGGGATATGATGATTGCAACCAACTATTTTGGTATCCTCAGGGGATGCGTCGTATTGTTCTTAACGACAAGACCAAACTCTTCGATATTCCAGCCTCGCAACGCCTGGCTCGATTCAAGGATATCAACTGGGGGAAGTCATTCTTCAAAACATACAGAGAGTCCCGGTCACTGCTTCACCTTCTTGTCAATTTCAACCGCATCTGGATCATCCATTTGACCATCTTTTGGTTTTACACTGCTTTCAACGTTCCGACCCTGATCGTTGGCTCAAGCTACGAGCAGCAGGTCAACCAATCACCCACTAATGCCAAAAAGCTCTCTGCTGTCGGGTTTGGCGGTGCCATTGCACCCTTTCTGCAACTTGTTGCTACAATTGCTGAGTGGATATATGTTCCACGGCGATGGCCTGGAGCAGAACCTATCGCGTTAAAGATGGTCATCCTGCTGGTTGCCCTTATCCTCAATGTGGCACCTGGTGTCAAAATCTTTTTCTTTCCCGGCCCGAAGAAGCTTGATGATTATCTTGCCATGGGCCATGTTGGTCTCGCCACCCAACTCTTTGCCTTTCTCGCAATCATGCCCTCTGGAAACCTGCTTGGCAACTTCTTCAAGAAGAAGTCCCGTCGTGCCACAGCAAGTGAAGTATTCACAGCGAAATATCTATCACTCCACGGGAACAACAGAGTGTTTTCATACCTGTTTTGGACACTTGTTTTTGGTGCCAAGTTTGGCGAGTCCTATGTCTTTCTTGCACTCTCCTTTCGAGATCCTGTACGGTATCTGTCCATCATGAACACCGACAGCTGCCAGGGAGACAACCTTTTCGGTTCAATCCTATGCAGACAACAGCCGACAATACTCCTCGTTCTCATGATGATGACGGACCTGATCTTTTTCTTACTCGACACATACCTCTGGTACGTCCTGGTCAACACCGTCTGTTCGATACTGAGGTCATTCTACATTGGATCATCAATTTGGACTCCCTGGCGAAACATCTTTTATCGGCTACCCAAGCGAATCTATTCCAAAGTTCTCGCCACACGAGAGATGGAGATCAAATATAAGCCAAAAGTGCTTGTGTCCCAGGTGTGGAATGCCATAATTATCTCAATGTATCGTGAGCATCTCTTATCGATCGAGCATGTGCAAAAGCTCCTATATCACCAAGTGCCATCAGAGGAGATGGGGAAGAGGACGTTGCGAGCTCCCACATTCTTCGTTGCCCAAGGCGACCATTGGTTCGACAGCCAATACTTTCCCAAGAACGGCGAAGCTGAACGTCGGATTTCATTCTTTGCCCAGTCTCTTTCCACGCCTATCCCTGAACCTATGCCCGTCGATAGCATGCCTACCTTTACCGTCATGATCCCGCATTATTCTGAAAAGATCTTGTTTTCACTACGAGAAATCATTCGCGAGGAGGATCAATATTCACGTCTGACAATGCTTGAATATTTAAAACAGCTACATCCGCACGAATGGTCTTGTTTCGTCAGAGATACCAAGGCTCTTGCTGGTGAAGATGAGCCACCTCACGACTCTGATTCGGAAGCGACTGGTCAGAACCAAATGGACCGCAAAGTTCAAGATCTTCCTTTCTATTTCATCGGCTTCAAATCCTCGGCTCCAGAATACGCTCTGAGAACCCGCATCTGGGCTTCGCTTCGGTCTCAAACCCTCTATCGAACGGTGTCAGGCTTCATGAACTACGCACGAGCTCTCAAATTGTTGTATCGGGTCGAAAACCCGGAGGTGGTGCAGCTCTTCAGACAACATCCCGAGAAACTTGAACTCCAGCTTGAACGGATGGCCAGGCGTAAGTTTCGCATGGTGGTGGCAATGCAGAGGTACGCCAAATTCAAGCAAGAGGAGCAAGAAAATGTCGAATTCTTGTTACGAGCCTATCCAGATCTCCAGATTGCGTATCTTGATGAAGAGGCTCCTGATGAGGGTGGTGAACCTCGTGTCTATTCATCCCTCATCGATGGACATTCTGAGGTGTTGGAAAATGGCTTGAGGCGTCCAAAATTCAGAATCCAACTATCCGGCAACCCTATCTTGGGCGACGGGAAATCTGATAATCAGAATCATGCACTCATTTTCTATCGAGGTGAGTACATCCAGCTCATTGATGCGAATCAAGACAACTACCTGGAGGAATGCCTGAAGATACGAGGCGTCCTTGCGGAATTTGACGAAACGACCAACGTCTCTGGCTATGACGATGATTTCAAGGACAACTCTTCTGAGCCGATAGCCATCCTGGGTACGCGAGAGTACATCTTTTCTGAGAATGTTGGAATCCTAGGCGACATCGCCGCCGGCAAGGAGCAAACCTTTGGCACACTTTTTGCTCGTACCTTGGCCCAGCTAGGAGGCAAGCTTCACTATGGCCACCCGGACTTCCTCAACGGAATCTTTATGACCACTCGCGGCGGCGTCTCCAAGGCTCAGAAAGGCCTTCACTTGAACGAAGATATCTATGCCGGGATGAATGCCATCATGCGAGGCGGTCGTATCAAGCATTGTGAGTTTTATCAATGCGGAAAAGGAAGAGATCTCGGATTTGGCTCCATTCTCAACTTTGTCACCAAGATCGGAACAGGAATGGGCGAGCAGATGCTCTCGAGGGAATATTTTTACCTTGGAACAAAGCTTCCGCTTGACCGGTTTTTGTCCTTCTACTACGCTCATCCTGGATTTCACATCAACAACATGTTTATCATGGCTTCGGTCTATATGTTCCTCATCAGCCTCCTGAATCTTGGCTCACTTCGACACGAAACTATCAGTTGCGACTACGACCGGGACGTTCCGATCACGGACCCGTTGTTTCCTACAGGCTGTGTCAATACTGACGCTCTGATGGATTGGGTCTATCGCTCCATCCTTTCTATATTCTTTGTGTTCCTCATGTCATTCATCCCTTTGACAGTTCAGGGACTGATGGAAACTGATCCTTGGAGAGCAGCTTTGCGATTTATCAAACATGTAGCCTCATTGTCGCCATTCTTTGAGGTGTTTGTGTGTCAGGTCTACGCCAACTCTGTTCAACAGAATCTCTCATTCGGAGGGGCCAGGTACATCGGAACAGGTCGAGGGTTTGCTACGGCGCGTATCCCATTCAGCGTCCTCTACGCACGATTTGCTGGTCCATCACTCTATTTTGGTGGTCGATTACTTCTCCTTTTGCTGTTTGCAACGCTCACAGTCTGGCAAGCTGGCTTGACTTGGTTTTGGGTCACCACCTTTGGCCTCATCTTTTCACCTTTTCTCTATAATCCTCATCAATTTGCATGGGACGACTTTTTCATCGACTATCGCGAGTATCTTCGATGGCTCTTTCGAGGGCATGCTCGTTTCCATGGCTCGTCGTGGATCACATACTGTCGCCTGGCACGCACTCGAGTTACTGGTTTCAAGAAGAAGAACCTTGGGGATCCATCTTCTCGGCTTTCTGGGGATGCTTCACGAGCTTCACTAGGCTCAGTCCTCTTCGGTGAGATATTACTCCCGCTGTTGTCGGTCATCATGACCACGCTGCCATATCTCTACATCAACGCCCAGACCGGCGTCCTTGAAAAGAACAACCGTGGCGAAAAGGTTGAGCCTACAGATTCTCTCATTCGCCTTTTGATCATCGCATTTGCACCCATGGCGATCAACTCTGGTACCTTGGCTGTGATGCTAAGTCTGAGTTGTCTTACGGGTCCTCTGCTAAGTCTTTGTTGTAAGCAATTCGGCAAGGTGCTGGCCTCGATCACATATGGAATCTCTGTCATTGCACTGATTGTTTCCTTTGAGGCAATGCTCTTTTTGGAAGGATTCAACTTTACCAGAGCCCTTGCTGGTATGATTGCCGTCGTTTCTTTGCAGATCTTGGTCTGCAAGATCATCATCTCGACGACATTGACCCGAGAGTTCAAAACGGCTTCGTCCAGCACTGCTTTCTGGACAGGACACTGGTACTCGTTGGGTCGTCATTCAATCACAGCACCATTCCGAGAGATCGTCTGCAAGATCACAGAGTTGAGTATGTTCTCGGCTGATTTTATGTTTGGGCATTTGCTTCTTTTCGCAATGTTTCCAATTCTCCTCATCCCGAAGATTGACAAAGCGCACACGACAATGCTGTTTTGGCTTCTTCCAAGGTCAGTTTCCATTCTTCCTCCTCTGCATGGGCGTTGATACTAACATGTTATCATAGTCAACAGATACGAGAGCCCATCTACTCCATGAAGCAGTCAAAGCTCAGGCGGCGTCGGGTGGTCAGGTTCGCAGTTGTTTACTTTACCATGCTGCTCGTGGCTGTAGGATTGATTCTCGCCCCCATGCTTGCGGGCAAGTACATTCCCTCTAGTGTTTGCGATATTTTTACAGACTTGGCTGGATTTCATCTGCTTCAACCGTCTGGTCAGGATCGCGATAACACCAATGGGACGCAACAGACTGGTACTGGAATGCCTGGCTATACTGGAGCAGGGTTGACATCATCTACTTCAGGGACGGGGGGTGTAGCAGCCACCACTCAGTAGCATGCTTTAGTAGTTTTTTCTTACCAATGCCATCATAGGCATTGCGATTTCCGGCCATGTTTCGTCTCATCTTAAGCTACCATAGAATTAAGATCCATATCAATCTCCCGTCCACAGTCAACTCGACCCTGTTGTCTCATTCTCGTGAACAGTCGCTTCAAAATTACCCCCGTAAAAGAGACAAAGCTGCAGGCTCAATCAAGTCACGAGTTACTCTTTCAACCCGGAAGCATTTCATAATTTGGAGATGGGTCGTCCCTTCATGATGCTGGATGATTAGAAATGTGCATCCATGTCTCGCATCTGGCAGTCTCCGCTACTTTGAGCACTACTTGCTCCTTAAAGTTGTTGGCAGCTAGACTTTTAGTACCTTCTATTTAGCACCTAGTGAGAGAAGTGCTACGCACTCGCAGTGATTCAACCGTATAGTATTGCACTGAGAGTGACGAACTTTCGACGAGGCGAGCGGATTAATGCCCTGTTTGGCTTCACCTGCACGAATAGATCATTGCGGCCTTATCCTGATTGATTCTGTAGCGGACATGGCTTCAAGGTCAACTTGTATGTTGGTACCCCCACCATGTGGAAGAGTGAAGATATCAGTTACATTCTCCTCGACTTGTTCTGTGTTATCGACGACTCTTCTCCCTTCTCAGCAACCAAGTGACCTTGCCCCTGTAACGACCCGAGGGCGAGGAGGCGCATACGAATGCTCAATCATCAAACACTTCCCTTGCTTCAAAATCAGGACGCGTTTTGGCCTCCTACATCTTGCGTGCCCTCTTCTTGGCCAAGTAAAGTGAAAGCATAACCCGTATCGTGGTACCCAGCCAGAGGAACGTATTGAAAAAGTCCATATAAACAACCGTCTATAGTTTCCCAACCTCTAAATCACTCAGATGTTTATTGGCTCTCCCTTCGCTCCTCGCCCAGCCAATGTATCTCAAAGTCGTGAATAAGGTGCCAAAGAGTGTGGTCCATAACACAAAGGTATATCCATCGCAAATGCACCAGGCTATGCTCCCAAAGGTCATGAAGAAAGATAGTGTACAAGTAGCTACCGACAACACAGCGACGACCTCGGCGAATACTTAGATCTTGAAGATGTTGGTTGTTGTCGATGTCTCACTCGCTAAGAGAGTACCATAGAAGCTGGCAATGACTATGGCAAGAATAATTTGTATACAGCGAAAGCCGGTGAGAACGCGATGTCGAAAGGATTAGTTTGTGTTAGAATCATGGTCAGTCGACAAGGAGAGAAGCATGGTGGCTAGCGAATTGTAAACGGTAAAGACTTAGGCTAGATGTATGTCAAGAGGGTGACTGATGCAGCGCTCAATGTAGGCAAGGGCGTCTTTATATTTGTGTTCTTAGAATAATGACAAGCATTCGGGTTCGTTACTCATATTTTTCAGATCCATGCCAAACATGTAAGAGTAACATTCAGTTGAGACAACCAAACCGGGAACTCGCAACTCCATCATCTGGCGCATGTTGATTGGAGTGTTTCTCTCCCTTTGCTTCGTCGTTGGAAACACGATGAGTTGTCGCAGAACCCGTAAAATATGACAACCAATCACTTGTTCTCAAATCACCTCAAGTTAGTCTTGCCCCTCTAAGAGTCCCAACACGGCACTTTTCAACTGTTAGAACTAAAAAAAAGGTTGTCGGAGAGACTTGTCCGGGCTTAAAGCCTCGCTCGCTTAGGGGGCGCCGTAAGATGGCAAGGTGAGCAAATATCAAAGTTCAAGGATTAGGCACAGGAGGGGTAGTATCTATGACAACTGGATCAAACACAAACAAGGATGGGCTCGGCGAGACCTTGCGCGACCAAGCGCTCATCGTTGCGTCTCACAATGTAGGAGTGTTTTTGAAACGGTCCTGCATCACCTACTCCTGTACCAACTTGACCCTTTTACAAGACTAAGCAGAGGATGGGATTAATGATCGACCGGACGACTAGGCTTGTATTGTTGGAATGAAATATGGATGGGAGCCGATTCAAGATTGATAACAACTCTTGCCAATCCCAAAGGAGAAGGATAGGTACAAGTGGGAGGTGTGATGGATGCAAAAAATGATAAACTCCCGGTTGGCTGCACTTTTTATGTCAAGATTGTGCCCTTTCTTTGCAAGATGCTGGCGGGCCTTGGCAATGGTGGTAAGCCACCCCCCTACCGCTGACTTGGTCTTGACATTCATACGCCATAGCACGACGTTTCGGGTCTATGATCCGGATATCGTTTTTAGGCTTTGGACAGTGCCTCCCCTGAAGCCGGTTATGCTGGTGAAACATGGCTGAAGACAGACCGTCAGGGGCTCGGTGCAGGATCTCATCAAGGGTAGATCGTTCCACCCCTGGCTTTCAATGATCAGCGAAAGGATTTACACCCAGTCTAAGATTTCCGATGGACTTACTGGCACTGATTAAAGCATGACTGCCAGGAGTAAGGGAGCGTGGCGAAGACGTGGAGGCTAAATCGCTTCTTATGACTTATGCCTACTTAACAGAAAACAAACTCCACACGGGGCTCGCAAGCGTCAGGCATGCTCTCGTCTGGGCGAGCACAAAAAGGCAAAGAGAGTGGTCCTTGTGGTTTTATTGAGAACGGGCCTAGATCACATGGATCTCGTGAAGATAGCTACGTAAGGAAAAGTCATCCACCATACAATCAATGACCGATCCAAGTGAGTTAGGTCTACCATATAGCAAACACGCAACAGAGGTCCCATTCAATGCAGCTGCTATTGTAATCCTTTCGTTGTTATTTTATTAAGCTTACATATATTGCTCCCTAGTCTCGAAACTTGGCACTAGACAGTGTATGAGCATAGCTACAGCAAAGCAATCAGGATCAGGCCGCGGGCGTCTGGCAGCTCCCAGATCAAAACTTTTGTTGAAACTTTGGGTTCTCCCTGATCCGTCCACCAAACCTATTCAACAACCATGGTACAGGCGCCAAGGCAAGAGAAATCAATCCAAGCAATGTATTCCCCCAACCCAGACCGAGTCCGTCGTAGAGCTTCAGCCCACAGAGGGGGAGAAGGGCTCCCAGTAAACTCCGTAAGACGGCATTTGCTGCGGTGACCGAGGCAGCATGTCTCGTGAAGGCGTCGACAAGGTAAGTTTGCGAGATCATAAAGATGCCGATCATACCAAAGCCCATGATGCCTGTACCGATCATCGGCACGATCCAGTGTAATTGCTTCTCTGCTGTCCAGCCGTAAATGATGAGGCCGATGGGGAGAGTCAAGGCAGTAGGGACAGTGAGTCTCAGGTCCAGTCGCTGCTCTGGCTCGACGGCCTTGCCTGCACTCTGACCATCCCTTATCAGCTTATCCGACAAGTATCCCACAAACATCAAGCCAAGCAAGTTTCCAACACCTCCAGCAATAAATGACAACCCTGCACCCACCGCACTGAACCCATACATGTCGTGATACACAAAGGTAAAGGTGGTGAATAGCAGATATAACATGCCGTAGAGAGTGGCGATGTATAGGCAAACCATAGTGACAATAGGCGAGAATAGAAGCATCCGCATGGGTCGAGTGATGGCAGAAATAAAGATCTCCTTCGATGAGCCTGTTGCTTGCATGGCTGAGCGATACTTGGTGGTTCCGGTCGCCTTGCGTAGTTTTGCAGCCTTTCGCTCGAGAATGACAGGTGCATACGTCTCTCGAAAAACTACAAAGGAAGCGAGGATTACAGCCCCAGACTAAAATCATCAATACGTCAGTCACTGATCCCGGAACCATGGTAAGTGGGATTAGACTCACAACAATAGTTATAACCCAAAACACCCATCTCCAACCCTTGGCCTCGACCAGAAAGCCAGCACAAACAGGTCCGATCACAGGCCCAAGGAGAGGTCCAATGGACCATATAGACATGGCGGCTCCTCGTTGCTCAGGGGGTACCATGTCTGCTATCGTGCCACTGCCGCAGGTCACCGTAGCGACCCCAACAAATCCAGAGAGAAATCGAAATGCAATGAGCATCCCGACATTCTGAGATACGGCACATCCAATCGAGAAGATGATGAAAAGACTGTTGCAGACGTGGTAAACTGGTGTTCGTCCGTAAAGCTCGCTCAAAGGCGCCATCACAAGCGGCCCGAATGCAAACCCGAGTACAAAGACAGAAACCATGAATGTCGCAACTTCCTCATTGGAGGTGCCAAACTCGGCCATGATGACTGGTACACCAGGAGCCATCATTGCAGACGCCAAGGGCCTATGTAGGGTTTAGCACGTCGAGGTCATTAAGATGAACTGAAGTCATACGTGAGAAAGGTGATAAAAGAGAGGATCCCGATGATGCTCCATTTGCGGCCCGCCGACCAATTGAGGGGATTCTCCGGGTCCTGATCAGGTGGTTCTTCCCATCCAACTGTGAAGTTGATATGCTCATCTTCATCAGGTGTCGTCGCTGGCTGCTTGGTTTGACGCTCATCGGCGAGTGCTGGTGTGTTTTCCTCTGCCATTGTTGTTTTGTTGATAGGTTTCTTTTGATCGAGGAGCCTGAAATATAAAAATGAAACGTGAAAAGGGCAATAAGTAACCTAGAATATTACATTGACAAGTGCAGGGAACCGGATGCGTCTTCCGAAGCTACCGGGTAGAGACCGAAGTCGAGAGCGAGAGCGGGAGCGAGACCGAGACCGATCCACCACCAGGGGCGCAGGGTTACAGGGGTAAGCCTCCTGGGTCGAGTCAGAACCTTTCGCTCAGAGCAGATCATCAATATTTGTGGTTCTCGGCTTAAGAGGTTGCATTGGGCGTGACTGCAATGGGAGAAAGCTGTAGAGATGCTTCAGGTTATAGCGCACGAGGACAATGCGATGGGCCAAACCAGGATATGGTGGGAAGGCATAGACAACAGCCATTAGTAATAGAAATACAGCTGTTTGGGTTTGAAATAACACTTGCCCATATTCCAGGTTCAGCAGTGAATGAGTTCTAGGAGTGCCAATCACGACGCTGCTAAAAATCCTATTGCGCATTGCGCTTCATTACAGACAATGCTCAATCACATTCTCAGTCCGTCTCTTGACGACGTTCGGTGTGCCAATACTCTCCAGCGTATCCCATAATTCCTCCAGCTCATGGAAAATCTAGTCTATTGTTAACACTGAACCATAAACCCCTGGCCCCCTTTCCACGGTTCAGCCTCGAGCTCCTGCACCGAAGATGTTGATCACGCGTTTGAAGTGGATAGTTTTGCGGCCGGATTGTCAAGCAAAGCCTGCAACGGAGAGGTAAGCAGGGTGTAGCTGTCGTATGCAACAGCCAGAGTCGCCTAAATGCCTGTACTTGTTTCTATTTTCAAAGTCAACTGTTTGGCGCCAAGAAACATATCTGGATATAGGCCCATCTAACAAGAGTCAATGGTCTTACCCTCACGTGGTCCAAGAGGCAAGTAACCGGCAGAGAGCGGGAGAAGATCGATACTCGACTCTCATGTTATAATTTCACTGCAACCCCTCTTTGTCTAGGCAATTAGTGAGACTTGGCTTTCGATCCATACACTGTCAGATTTGGGTTGATGCTGTCAATCTCTTCCACATGGTTCTTGTGTGCATCTCGGTCGCGGCTCACTATCTAAACCCTTAATGAGAACCTAATGAGATGACCTTGCGTAATGTCGCTCTACCAATGTCACCACAATCTTTGGGGGGTAAGATGCAATGATATTGGAGTTGGGAGCTCGCACTACTTCCATCAAGGTCATATTAAAAAGCACATGAAATACCAAACGATAAACTAGAGTATAATTGACATTTGAGGCCTAAAGAGTATGGTTAAACCAGGCTCAACTATTAGTACCTTTCATACCACCCGGCCTGAGTCTTTCCCGGAACTCGGACTTCCGCTCGGTGTGTGGCAAGAGCGAGAGTTCGAAGCCACCGTTATATGTACGATGACGTAGTGGTTATTTTCTCTCTCTCATTATTCTCGTTTTTTTCTTTGCATTCTGAGCATGGCTTAAGCTAGAGCGTGAACAACTAGCTGTACTATCTGGATTGTGGGCATAGAATAGCCGTGACGGCATGCGATGGAATTACCGAGTGTTGGACTTCCGCGCCTACATTCATCACGCAATGTGTGAGACAATCAGAAACTCGGGATAAACTAAGAAGAAATTCCACATGAATCGAGAACCCTTTTAACTCTTGAATAAAAATTAAAAAAACTCAGAAGATATTACTAGGGTTAATATCTTGGCCTAAGGGCAACAATCTGTCGAGAATATGGTCATTGTTGCAGTTGCTGGAGTCTGGTCGATTCGGCCGATGCTTTGCTCTTGAGCTGCTCAAGAAAGCTAATGTTTCTGTCCGAGGACTTGTCAGAGATAAGTCCAACGTACCATCACGTATCAGCAAGTGTCTAGCTGTCAAACTTGTCGAGGGTGGTGCGAACGACATGCAAACACTATGAAATGTCGTTCGGGAAGTCGATGTTATTGGGTGTGCCTACGCGGCTGACAGTAAATTCATGGCAGCAGGCCAGAAACTCCTAATTGACGCTTTGGAAGCTGAAGGGGTTTAGCGTTGCGTGGCGAGCGACTATACTCTGGTTTATACTAAGCTGGAATACGGGGACCTGATATCTCAAGACACCATGAAGGAAGTATATGAATCTTCAGCGAAAGAGTGTCAAAGGCGTTTATCTACTCATAGGTGCCTTGACTAATACTTTCTGGAGCTCCTGGTTCGGAATCTGGGAGCCCAAAGACGTTTCAATCTCATTCTATGGCACTGGGGACGAGGCATGGGAGCTGACGAGTTACGAGAATGCTACCGAATTTGTTGCGACACTAGTCCTGGACGAGAAGGCAACCGGGTTTCAAAGATATAAGCTTATACACTATGTTCCTAACTGTGAATATTCTAGAAGCTAATGAAAACGTAGTTCTTGGAGATAGAATCTCCATCATCCAGATCGCCAAAGATTTTGAGGATGCGTATGGAAAGAAACTATATCTGCGAAGCCTTGGAACGTTGGATGATTTGAAACACCGCATGAACACGGAGCAAAAGTAACAACCAGAAAGTGTCATCAACTGGCTTCCATTGTAAGTCCCATGTTGAATACCTTTTTTACGTGCATCACGCTCATTCTTTGTTTGGGTTCTATCAATACTTTGCCTGGACGGTCAGACATATCTTGGCGTAGAACCTCAGGGCTTAGGATAGGCTCAACCGGTACCCATCAGGAAGTATTTGGAGAATCATGACCTAGAATCGTTGAGTACTACAATGTTCTCTGTGGGTACAGCTCAGTAAGTGAGGGGATGCTAGCCTTATCTTGAACAGGTCCAAGCCACCACTCGCAATGCGCTCAATGGTATTGAGTGTAGCCAAGTGATATTGATAGCTGACGTAGCTTGTACATGATAAAGTGCAAATGGGCATGTGCTATAAGCGTATTCAGGGCCTCCCCATTGGCTTACGGTCGGCAACGCGAGGCTCACTCTTTCGGTGGTGAGTGGTGAGTGGCTCACTCAGATTGAGGTTAATGGGGTGGAAAACATGGGACCATGCATGACAGTGGGGTTGTGATAACAGTGAGTGCCAAAAGAATAACGGACCAAATCAACTGCTGGTTCGACGCATCAATATGTACTGGTTTTCACAATCCCTAGATCCCCAGAGGCAACTGCAGGGCTACTGACACTTCCCTAAATCCAGATCAGCCGCCAGCCATGCAGAATAAACCCCCTCGGAAGCATCGTTTGCGTTGTCGTACCAGTTACTGCTAGTCTTCCCGGTCCTCTTTTTCAAGAGACACACATACTGTAGCTAAATCGGTTGGTTGTTTTATTGCCAGCAGTTGGTAGGATCATACAGTCCGGGATCACCATAAATGGGCGAATCAGCCAGTTAATGTAGATGACCTGAATGAGTGTAGCTTACTGCCAGTGTCTAGTGGACTGGTTTCGGGGTTCCATTTCTCTGCACCAGTAAGAATGATACTTTTACAATGAGTCCCATTATAATGCCGGCCTCGTTCACATCATGGATATCGGTCAAGGTGTTTCCGTCCCTCGTTATCATACGCGAGAACCACTCACGGGACGGTTGAGAATAGTCTGGCCAACAACGTGTTCCTCTGGATGAGATAACTTGCGTGCTTTCGGAATGGTATCGCATTGGGTATCAAAGCCGTGGCATCGGCGCGATAATGTATCGTCTAGCTTTTTATACATTGTTGTAGCGCAACGGAGAGCTAAGGTTGGGTCTTTGAAGGCCTTGAAGAGTAAGAATAGTACTCGCCTTTTTTACTTTCATGTGTGTGACGAGTACGTCATTGAAAAGGTAGTAGAATGGATCGAGGGAAGATTGGAGACATGTTTCATCCACTCATTGATTAAGACGGCGAACATCAACTATACAGATCACCCTTCCTGTTTGCCACTGTTCTCATGGATTGAAAATAACCTTTATACTACTGATATCTTTATCTAGTATAGTTACGGCATCATTAACCCCCCTGAGGTCACCACCAATCTCTGGGTAGGAACCACAAGAAGCTTGCCCGTTCCAACTGCTAGGGGAAGATATGTAACAAGCGTCTATTCAAGCAGCTCGTTCTTCTCCTTCTCGATTATCGGAACAGGCCAGGAACTGAATTTGTGAGACGCGTCCCGGGGTAAGATTTCTGGAGCAAAAGGAGGTCGAAGTGCATCTACCTCAGTGTATTTGAGGCCAAGATTGCATCAACTACCAGATCATAGGGCTCCCCTCAACTGGTGCCCTGGTGATTGATCCCCCTTTCCGTGCGTTGTCGACGACTTTGGCGGCACCTAGCTTTGAGACCAATCTTTCATGCCTCGGTGTCCAATCCGACAGTATCATCGTCTCCACATGGTCTCGCTCATCCGAGGTTCGGTGCGCTCGGATTAACTCGCAACCATCTCGATGTCCGAGTGGGGCCCCAGGCTAGATGGATTGATGTCATGCTACCTTGGAAGGGCCTGTTTAAAACGTTTCTCTTCATTAATCAGCCTGGCCGGACTTTCTAGCACCCTTCGTCATCCATCTGATCCCTCTCCGAGCACAAGCAAACAGCACACTAACAACGATGGTGACAGTCAAATCTACTTCTGGCGGGCATGATTCTCGCAGTTCCATAGAGATCAAGGCTTATGGACCTGTCCCTTTGGCTTGTGCCGCCTGCCGTTACCGCAAGTCAAGATGCGACAAGACCAGACCAAGGTGTGGCAGGTGTGTTAAGTTTGGCATCAACTGCGTCTATCCGGGGTCAAGAAAATCGGCCCTTCGAAAACAGACAAATGCGCAAGATTTGGAAGACAGATTAGGTATCGCCCCAAGTTCATGTTACTACCCGTGGCCAAGTTGTTACTGACAACAGTTGGAAGCTCAGGTCGAGGACCGGCTTAACAAAGCTAGGCAGTCAATCGCCCAGAAATGCCATTCAAAAGGCTCGGAGAAAATGGGAGAAATGACAGACCCTGTCAAGCCTGGTAACCTTGAGCACAGTCCGCAATTCATGACCTTCAGAAAGGATAGCACTCTGCCCCTTCAAGGCATCATAGAGTCCTTGTAAGATCGCTGGCCATGAGACAAGAAAAAGTGAGAGTCGCTTTCTAAGCATAATAGGACCGAAACTTTTTTCCGTCTCCCTTATTCAGACATGATGATCATACATCCCGCAAGATACATGCAAGCTTTCCGAGGAGACGCTACTCGGAAGCCTCCTCAGTACTTGCAGTATGCCATCTGCGCTTTGGCAGCTATCGGAAACTCGATGGATGATTCTCATCACTTCTTTTACCAAAGGGCACGACAAAGCCTTGAGGCGGTTAACTCAAAGGTGCCCAACGCTAAAGCACCCCGAGTCTGGATCAAAGCTAACCCTTCCTACAAGGGTCTTGACGAACAACACGTCTCTATTCACCACGCTCAAGCATGGATCCTTATAAATATTTACGAAGACAAGGCCATGCTATGTACACGGGCCATTATGAGTGTCGCTCGCACACGACAAATTTGCCTCTTAATGGGCCTTGACCTTCTAGACTCAGAGCACCGTTCGGTTGATCACGAGCTATCGCTGTTGAGCTGGGTCGAACTCGAGGAATGCAGGAGGGTATTCTGGTGCTCATTCGTCTTGGATGCATTTGCAAGCATGTCGACGGGATTGCCTAGTCTGATCAACATGGACAATGTGGGTTGATATTTCTGCTTCCGTCTCGATAGGCCATTGATTAACTAACCGCAGGTCGCTATTCGTCTTCCTTCCTCCGACAATGCATTTATCTCGGAGGTTCGAGAAGAGACCTCTTTCCTACACACAATACTTGAAGATGCACAACCCGCCGGGTTTGCCGGGTTTGCCGGGATTGTAATAGTTTGTCAAGTATTTAAGGATATTCTGCGACATACGATTGAATCGAGCTGTGCTGGCGCAAAAGGTAAGGTCAACAGTAGGTTTTAGTCCCGGCATCATGAGATTGACGAGAGAATATCGAGGATCTCGAAGCTACTTCCTGGGAACGTCTCCTTGCCCCCAGATCCTCTGAATGCTTCAAATATTCGGATCAATCTTACCCTTCAGGCCTCTATCATTTGCCTCCATCATTCGGCAATTAAGGAGTGCAAGAACCATGACTCCTTACAGACTTTGGCGCAAACAAGCATCAGTTGCTTGCAAAGCGCGGCCGAGAGGGCTATGGACATCATCAAGTCCTTGCCTGACTCAACCTCAATCTCGGTAGAGTCACTTCCAAATTAGGACTCTGTGTCAAGCTGACCTTTTCTTGAACAGGATAACACACTCTGCTCCCTTTCGCTCTATGTAGTGACAACTGCGCTCGTCTTTATGGCCAAACAGGGTTCGGTATCCGCCATCCGGGACCTCGGAGTCACTGTGTCCTTGATGGAGAAGATCTCACCAACACACAAGCTGACACGGGTATTTCAACATCAAGTCTGTTCTGACATATGCCTGAGTGGAATCGGCGCATATATACATATTCCGGCATCGAGCAAGAGCACAGTTCGTACCAGCCAAACAACACCACCATCATCCGGTCCGGTCAGCTCGCACAACACAGCACCCCAAGATGTGCAGCCCAGCAGCATGAAACAGAGAAATCTTGCGGCCTGGGCTGTAGAAGAAGATCCTGAATCTCTCGCATGGGACTGCTTTTCGGCCCTTCTTGCTGCTGCTAAACACAACGCCTCAGCACCAAATAGGATGGTTGTGCTAAACCGCGACCGATGCCAAGTTTCTTCCATCGGAAATGAACATATGATGTCAAATGACACAATAGACACTGTCTCAAGACACAGCCCTGGCATGATGGGAAAGCACTTGATAGACGCCAACGAGGTGCAGCAAGATTACGCTCTTCCGAGTACGTTAACGGTTCTTGATGACCCACTCAGCTGGGCAGGATTTTGGGAAATCTGTGACAATAATCCTGAGGGGACATTTGATAGCGCTCCTCATTCTGGATCAACGGCACTTGGTGGCATCGTTACTTTGCAGGAATGAGAGCCAATATGAAACGCAGTATCAAGGTAGATGTTGCTCTCGGTATATATAAGAATAGTTCACCAAGGAGGCGCTTGCAGAGTATGATCAAAACTCGAGGCTTGCACAGGGAATAATGATAAATAGCCATGCCTGACTCCCCCCCTTGGACTACTGTCAAGGCGCCATCGTCGGTGTCCACGATATCTCTACCTCTATTGACACACGGAGCTCGGATAAGCTGGTGAACTCCCAGGCTAAATTTCATCATCAAGGGACTATATCATTCAAGAGTAGCTGAACCAACATATCCGACAGAACCACGCGGAGCGCCAGGTTACCTCGTCAGCTTGCATTTCACAAAAGTCACGGTCGAAAAGCAACGTGGGTGCGAGGAGCCCTCGATCTCCCGAGGCTTTGGCTGGATCCTATATCAGAATACCACCCCCTACTTTGGCGGTCTGCCTTTCTCAGAGGCGTTACATATTGGGGCGCGGCGATGAAACTGGGTAGTCGAAATCTTACTATTATTGACCGTGGCCCCATTCGGGTCCAGTGGGTAAAAAAACATCAAGATCTGGATGCGACATGAAGAAATTCTGAAAGAATCTCAGAGAGAACTTGGGAACTGAGTTTGCCAGCATGATGGGGGAGTTTATAGTGGTCTGCGTGCTATCTTACTAGACAAACCCGAAATGAACTATAGTATAGTAGCAGCTGGAGCGCTTTTCGATGATTCAGAGGAGTATTGAGGACATCTGATCGACAAGCATGGCGTGGCTCCCACACACCGATATCCGCGTTTCGGAAATGCTAAGTCTCCGAGATACTTAGGGTAACCCTGATTATTAATTAATATTTAGACCTTAATATAAAAAAAATTAAATTATATAAATAATTACTTAAAAAGTATTATTATAATAAATTATAATTCTTAAATATATAAATTATTATTTATATTATTTAATTTAATATTAATAATTTAAAAAAAAATATATAATTTCTTTTATAATATTTATTTATATATTTTTTATAAAAACTAAGGGATTATAAAGATTCTTAAATAATTATAAAAATAAAAATATTAATTCCTAAGAATAAATTTTTTTTTAAAAATTAAGCTATTATTAAAGGCATTAATGATTGTGTGGATAAACCTTATTAATTTGAGCCTATTGAGCTTAGGCTTTAGGTATAGAGCCTTTATTATTAAGCCTATTGAGATTTTAATTGAGATACTTTGATCCCCTTTTTAGGTGGAATAAAGTCTAATAATAATAATATAGTAATATAATTTATATATTAAAATATAAAAAATATTTAAAGGCTTTTAAGATAATTAATAATTTTATATTAAATATTTTATAATAAGTTTTTATATTAATAAGTTTATATAAATAATATATTATAAGATATTAATAATATTCTTTTTATAAGAAAATTACTTTTATTTTAAAGTTATATTTATTTATTTTAATCTTAATTAAGGCTAATAAATTAAAATTTATTAAGATAAAGATAATTTAAAAAGTATATTTAAGTTACTTAAAAACTCTTATAATCTTATTACTAATCTTAATAATTCCCTTAGGTTATTTTTTTATTATATTACTAAGTAATAAAATAATTAAGTTATACTTCCTAATAAACCTCTTATAAAACCTTATAAAGCTAGGAAATTATAATATATCTTAAATATTATTAAGAAAAGGCTAGTCTTATATTATAATTATTTATTCTTAATTTATTATAATTCCTTTAGGGGTTATAATAAACTTAATATATTTAATTTAATTAATATTAAAGATATATTTCTTAGAGTTTATATATAGCCCTATATTTTATAGCTTTTATAATATATTTCTTATATATTTTATATAATTTATTAAGTTATTATTATATATTAGGATATTATTAAGATATATAATATATATTATTATTTAGCTCCCTAAGTATATTATTAATAAATTATTAAAAGGTAATTAATATATTTATAAAGCTAAAAGGTATAACCTAATATTTATATTATTAATAATAATAATAAAAAGCTATTTTTTATTTATTTCCCTTTTTAACTTATAACTAATAATAAATATCTTTAAGGTTAAGCTTTACATAAAGATAAGCTTTTATTAATTTATTAAGGCTTTCCTTAATAAATAATAAAAAGATATAATTCTTTATTATAATAATATTTAAGCTATAATAATTAATATAAAGGCATAGCTTATCTCTTTTCTTAAGGATAAAAAAAATAAAGGCTTTAATTATATTTATTAATCTTTAAGCCTAGTCCTTTTAAAATATATTTATAATATATTTTTAAAGTATAATTAATTCTCTTTTTATTAGGCTATAAATAAGTCCCTAAGGGGATATTTCCTTAGGTTTAATATTAATAATAATATATATATTTATCTACGGGTTCTAATTTCTTAGCCTCTAAGATAAAAAAATTTTTAAAACACTAAATAGAATTTTAAATATTACTAGGAAGCTTCTAAGAGGCATTTATAATATATATATATGCCTTAGTGTAAATTACTTTATTAAGTCTAATTATTTATAATTTAAAGCTTATAATAAGGTTAAGAGTATAAATCCTAAAGATAAATATAATAACTATATATTATGCTTTATAATATGCTTTTTTCTTAGATATAATTATTTAAAGGATTTTCTTAATCAGGAGATATATTTAAATTCTTTCTTTTTATTTATATATACTCTAAGATAATATCTTTACTTTTAATATCTATATTATAAAAATATAAGTACTATAGAAGAGTAATCTAAGCGCTATTTATTATTTTAATTATAATATTAATATATCCTAGGTAAGCTATTTAGCTCTTATTTATAATTTTATATTAAGCCCCTTTTATAAGTATTATCCTTTATTTATTCTCTTTACTTAAGAATTAGGGATAAATAATATTTTAATTAATATTATAATCTAATAATACCTTTACATCTTTTTATTAACCCCTTAGCTATATTAATACTTAGAGATATAATTAATTATATTATTCTTTGAGTTAAGTCTAATTTAATTCTTATTATTAAGAAGAGATAATAGAAGGGATAATAAGTTCTTAGTTTAAATTACTAAGAGTATTAAAGCGATAATTTCTTTAATACTTTATAATAATATATCTTAGAGATTTATAGGTTATATAACTAAGGTATAAATATAATAAATAAATATAATTATCCTTATTATATCTATAATAATTTATACTATGCTTCTTTTTTATTATATTTAATTCCTTATTATTAATAAAAATAATATTAATAAGTAATATAATAAGAAACTTTATAAGTATATTAATATTTTAATAAAAGGTATTTTTCTTAATAATAATCTTAGCTTAGATTTTAATATTAATAAGAATATCCTAAATAATAGG